GTTTTTTAATGCTCAAATTGGTATAATAAAACCTTACCTATATATAATTTTCTTGAGGAGGAAGACATGAAATAATTTTTTAGTGCTATTGCAACCTTTTAACTGCAGTTACTCTATATAAAGCATTTTATAACAATGAAAATTATTAGAATAAACGTGACGATTAGAAATAATTTAATAATATTATTTATTTTAAAATCAACGAATTCCTTATCATCATCAGTCCCAAGCAGTGTTGAATCCAAGTATATTTAAGAGGGGAGTGATAGCTCCCCTGGAATTTTGGTGCCCCCCTGTAAAATATAGGTAAATTAATGATTAATTGAATAATTAAACAAATTTGACTGGTCTTAGTATATAGGTAGGTAAGCAGAAAAAAAAACGTTCATAACTTTAATTTTAATAATGCATTTATACTGCTTTAGCACCACTGGGCACACCCATAAGCAATATTCGTTTTTTTATAATTGATTTACCTTACTTGATATTACAACCATTATGTATTTGATTTTTTACTGTCATATACTTAAATGTTTTATAATACTTAATTAATTTAGTATATATGATTTTTTAATAATTGTCTGTTGAACCTGATTAAAATCTTTTTCATTACCGTTCAATTATCTATTGAGTTCTATACAAATAACGATAAATAACTAAAGAATTGCTGCTGCGTTAAATTATGATTAATGAAAAAAAAAATATCATTTGTATATATATTTGTAATATCATGTAAATATCACAAAAAGGCAAAAACATCAAACGCATTTAACAACTTATTATGATGAAATTCAAATAAAAAATGGGAAATATAGTACCTGTAAATAGGAAGCTACAGTACTAATTCTGTTTTTTCTTTATGAAACCTTTAACGATAAAGGTATATTATATTATATTACTTTTTATTCAGGTATGGTGTATATTGTATACATACTAAAATTTTTAAAAGTGTATGTAATAAATAACTTATAATTAAACGTGAAAGTAATATTTTTAATAAACGTCATAAAATAATCCAAATTTAACATTAGGTATAATTATAAATTTAGAATTTAGAATTTTTTTTTTTTAAATACAATTTATAACATACAATTATTTATTTATAGAATTTATACATTTTATATATTATAGACTTATTGTTTTCTCGTATAATTTTAGATGGATAGATGTTTTAAAAATGTATATATTATAACTTAAATATAAATTCAATTTTGTATAGAATCCATAGTCATACAGTTATCAATTCCAAAATTGTAGAGTAACTTATAAACATGTTAACTATTTTTTATACTCTTAGTATTATGATTAGTTGTTTAAATATTATAAAGTTCTAAGCAATTCTCTATGTAACAGTACTATTTTATTTTTATGTAAAATTTCCCATTAAAGCGTAAATAAATAAATATAAAAGCGGATATATTTCACACGTGGGTAGGTTACTGTTGTAGGTTAGAAGTTAAGAAGGTAAAGGGAAACTTTAATGTATATCTGTGCGCAATAATTAACTATTACTAATAAAAACGATTCTAAGCGGAGTTTGGTTAATAGTGTTGCTTTGTCAACAATATATATGTCACATTATGTATTTATATTTTTATTTATTTATATAATTCATATGAACACAAGGTCCAATTACAATACAAATTGTTTATCTTATTATTCACACATCAGACCTATACTTACATTAATTTTAAATTCACCAAAAACTATTAATTAAAAGGATCAATATTGTACCTAATATAATAGCTATACTCATTAACGATTAGTTAATGCATTTGATACTAAATTACTTGCTAAAGATGAATAAAACAAATTGACATTTCTTAAATTAATTTTAGGAACCTTAAAACTAATCATACATAAAAATTCAGGACATTCAATTAAATTATTAAATAATTTATATAAGAAAAAAAATGTTATCTAATTTTTTCCTTCTTATTTCTAAAGTATTTAAATTGAATATTCTCAGTAATGGCTCATAATATGTGTGTGCCTCTTTCTCTCTATATATATATATATGTATATTTAGTTACATTAGTTTAAACAAATCTTAAAAATCGGTGTTGGACAGCTACTAATTCTTTAATTAAACCTATCTGATATGGTGACCATAAAATGGAATTATATTCAAGACATGATCGGACTAGTGAACAATATAATGATTTCAAGGCAATAATATTTGTACAATTTTCTTATAAAACCCAACAGTTTTGATGCTTTATTTATTATTTTAGAAATATGAGTATTAAAAGTTAAGTTATATCCAAAAATAGTTCCTAATCTGTAATATTTAAGAAAATTGATAGTTTACAAATAGAAATTTGGTGTTTTAAAATGATAGGTTTCTTAATTCAGTAGAATGAAATAAAATTGCGTTTAGATATTTTCAAGGTTATTTCGTTAGTTGAGCACTAGCTAACCATATTGTCTATATCTCTTTATAGTAAATATGTATCATCAATGGATTTTATAAAACCAATCAATTTGCAATCATCAGCAAACGAAAATAATTTAGCAAAACTAGATGATATTTATAGGAGAAGAAATGACATTTTTTTATTTTACTATTTGAATTCTATTAGTGACAAATGATATAAACCATCATTATGGTAAAATAATTACATACGCATAATATATTTTCTTTAAGAATATCTGTTTAATATTGTACATATTTTCCCGTTTTTACTACGTTTTTTTCCATTTATTTAGAAAACTCTTGGTAAAATCAAAAATGACCTCCTTTAAGTACCACCCCAGGAAAATTTCCTTTCAGAAAAGATGCTACACTTGATGCTTCGAAGCAAGATTTCTGGTTGAAATTTAGTATACAGTACCTAAAAAAAAAATAAACATCTTTGTAAAACCAATACATTCTTCGCTACACTCAGAATCTAAAATAAATACAATTATTAGATTTGAATATTTTAATCAGTCGAAAAGAATATTGTATCTAAATAAAAGCGAAAGAAGTTTCTTAAAAATAATTTAAATTTACTATTTAGTAATAGGTTAATACAATAATAGCGATTGATAGTATATTCTTAATCAATTACATTGTTGTGTACCTACTCATTTTTTTTTCAGTCCTAGGATTGGTTAAATAATAATGATTGATGTTTCTCTCCATTTATCCATGTCGCTTATATTTATCTTTTAAGCTCTGTAGTCTACATATTATGAATTTATTCCGGTATCTTTCATTAAATAAATTGATATCCTATATTATAAAGTATTATGATTTTGTTAGGTATCTACATCGTACATATATAGATATCTAGATAAAAATGATAGAATACTGATATGACCAATTTTCAATATATACCTAAGTTAGATTATAAGTAAATGTAGCTTAAGTTTAAATATTACAAGCACCAGGTATTGTGAATATAATCAATACACATTTTTCTAATCAAAATATATTTAGATAGATGTTATTGGGTTTTTGTTATTTTAAATATATGGTACGAAAAAACTATTCGACATTATAAGTACTTGATTAATAGTTGGCATTCTCTTTATTTTAAAGACCTCCCGTAGTGTAAAAACACTTAAATGATAATAGTTTTGATTGCTTAGCTCAATCACTCGTCATTAAACATTCGCCTACACTAATTCATGATCACTATACTAAGATCAAATATAAATGTACATTTAGCAATAAATAATAAGATTGATAAAATATTATTTTCGATTGTATTTCTTTCTTTTTTTATAACTGTATATAACAAAGAAATATATACCTTGTTATAAATATCTTCTACCTGTATTAACTTACTTAATATTTATACATAAAGAACTTATACGTGAGTACATCCTACGAGCTATGTATTATTTAACATATTTTTATGTATTATGTCAAGTATATAAAAATAGTATGTAGTATAGATTACGAGGCGAAAGGAAGCAGAAGGCGTATTCACGATTTTGACACTTCAGTTCCTGATATATATTACATATATTTTCACGGTCAGTCGATCCCTTTCACTATGTATAATATATAAACGAAGTATGTTATTTTATTTTTTTTGTTATTTTTTAATAAAGTTTAAAAATCCGAATTACTTTGCACGTGCATGCAGAGGATACCCCTATATGTAAAATAGACTATTTTGCTGTGTGAATTTATTATTGCAAACGTAAAACGGAGGTGTACATGTGTCTTAATTTAAATGTGAATGTGATGAATCATCGTAGGTATATTAAAAAAACGACATGTATATTTGATTATGATAATTTGAATCGTTAATTTAGTAAAATATACTAAATAAAAAAATGTAAGTACAATATTAGTAAAGTGACAATAATCCATAGCTACATAGATGCCTTATAAATTGTCACCAAATACTTATATTAGCTTTTCCAAGACGTGGATCGATTTTCAAAACATTCTGACGATTTGAGTGATATTTATAAACATTTGAAAATGTCGAGGGTTTTTTAGTTTTTGTATAATGTTAAAATTATTTTGGCCTAACAAAATGCTTAGAAATGTATAAAAAAGATACGGACATAATTCACACGATAGGTGGGTATCTGTTGTAGATAAGGTAGGATATAGAAGGGAATTTAATGTATATGTTACAGTTAAAACCCGAAATTCGTCAAAACTAGTTTTAACTACAGATTAAAATAAGTCAACAAAACTAGTTTTTACTAAAATACATGTATTCCAACCTGTACTACCTAAAACCCACGCAATCACTGGCGATCTATAAATATTGTTCCATAAATTCGTCTAGCTGGTTATAAAATTAATTAAGATAACTTTAACCACTTATCCATTAAATCACTAGGAGATACGATAACTTGGATTGATTATACCTAATAGATAATAATTCGGTCGCTGAGTTTTGCAGGTTCGTTAGTCTTCATTGTAGTTGCACCTACGTGTTTGTCTCGCGCAACGCCAGTTTTCTATTTTTTTTTTTCCATTATTTTCGATCTCGTTGACGTTCACCGGTATTGAACATCGTCGTCGTGTTATTTTCTACTTTTGTTTTATGTCGAACACTGAGAGAGAAATAAATACCCGAGAACGGTTTTTTAAGAAGCTTATGGAATTGGTGGAAGGAAAAAAAGACAATCATTATAATGTTATGACAAAAGATACATACGATTCGCTTCTGAAAGAGGTCGAGGATGCGAAATCAGCTACTCAAAAAACCTCCGCTAAATATAGAAGGATAAAACGATTCAATGTTTTAGCACTTGGTGATTCAAAGCTGGCAACTCGCAGAGAGCCAGTTAAGTATTATCTGCCGATGGAAAATGTTTTTAATGTCATTGATTCGTCACATACTGGTGTAGAGCATGGCGGGAGAGATCGCTTAAAGGTCGAAACTTCAAGAAAGAACACTAATATCACCACTGACATGATTAACATCTTTTTTCTCTTTGTGAAACACGCCAGAAGAAAAAAAAGCTTAGGAAAAAGGACTTTCGAAACCTATCGTTTCGAAACGAACTTTACGTTTGAAAAAACGTAGATTTCAAATCGATTTGATAGACATGAAGTCGCAATCCGATTCATAGTTTAAGTTTATACTTAATTATCAGGATCATCTAACAAAGTTCGTTCAGTTCGACTCATTGCAGTCTAAGCGTGCAGAAGAATTTGCAATCCATGTATTAGACATTTTTTTGACTTTTGGTGATCCGGTTCTTCTCCATTCAGACAATGGGAGAGAATTTGTCAACAATGTGATTAATGAGATAAAAACATTATGGCCAGAGTAAAATACGTGCACGGAAAGCCGAAACACTTACAAGCCAAAGCTCCATAGACCATGCAAATCAAGACGTGGAGTGAATACTCGCTTCTTGGATGGCGGACAATAAATCATCTAATTGGTCTATCGGTTTAAAGTTCGTTCAATTTATAAAAAATAGAGCTCACCACGTCGAGATAAATATGACGCCTTATAAAGCAATGTTTGAGATTGATCCAAGAGTGAGACTTGCATCCTCTAATCTGTCCAATTATTTGATTAATACTATAAACGACGAGAATGATCTTGAAAATTGTACAGGTACTCAAACTGGACGTGAAGATATGATCGAGCAGAAAGCTGCAGGTATGTTCTTTAATTATTTTACTTTCACTCAATAAAAAACTTTTAGACATTTTTTTTCCCTTGGATATATTTCAGGTAACTCTCCTATACGAACAATTAGAAAAGAAGCGCTCGCAAATTCGGAAAAACAGGCAGCCCGAATAATGACTCGATCTGACAAAAAATTTTCCGCGATTGATGTTGGTATCGACGTAGTAATATCCATTCCTGATGTTGACAGAGGCAAAACAGATCTTCCCAATCTCATCGAAGTAGTGTTGGAAAAAACAGAACACGGTCTATATAGAATCGGAACTAAGGATGAAATTCTGGACAAACTTTATTGTAGATACGTTCATTATCATCTTTTCTTTAACAAAATATAATAAAATTGGTAATAAGTTATTAACCTTAAAAAAACGTTTCAAGTTTGAATTTATATCATGCAAAGAAAAATTTATCAGTGAGAATCAAGTTCCAAGCAATTCTATTTACCTCCGGGCAGTTGCAACAAAAGCATCGACGAGGTCAAGGCAAAGCTTTGCAAGATGCACATGTAAGAAATCTTGCGGAACAAATCATTGTTTATGTAAGAAAAATAGAATATTATGCAATTCAAAATGCCGTGATAGTTTGTCCTGTAAAAATAAATAATAATACAATAAATAACTTTAGTAATTATCCAAATATGTACTTATTTTTACTTTTTCCTAATTCTTACTAGTTAAATCTAGTTTAAACTATCAAAACAAAAATTACGGATTTTCACTAGATAATTCTAGTTTTAGCATGTCAAAACTAGAATTGACTAAAGGGATTTGAGGAAACTAGTTTTGACCAGTTAAAACTAGTTTTGACGGATTTCGGGTTTTAACAGGTATGTCTGTATGTATACAGATATATATGTAACGATTAATCTGAGCTAACGAAAAACGATTCTGAACGGTGTTTGGTTATACGAGCTTTAAAAGGCTATAGTATTTACAATTAAATTCTTATAAAAATAATATACTTCATTAACTCGACTTGTTCTTGTTGACCACAAAGTAAATCTTAATGAACCTCCTATTAAATCGTCATGCATTTCTGCTTGGTCTAAAAATGTTATCCACAGAATACCTACCGAATAAAAATTACATAAGAAACTCACAAAATTTAAATGTCTATAAATAGCTAAAAAATTACTAAAATGTTTTTAAAATTTTATCATGTCCAGAAAAGGAGAATATTAGGTTTCTGTCCAAATTTCAAGTCTATATGAATATTTTTAACTGAATCACAACAAAAAAAAAGTGGTAGTAGAACGGGTCTGACGAAGAGGGACGCGAAAGTTAATGAGGGAAGGAGAGACGGTGTGTCTGCAGAATCAGTGATGCGTTGACGGAAGAACTTTAAGTTAATGTCAACACTTCTATCAGCTAGCGTTGATAAACCAAGCCTTTAGAGAACTAAAGAGAAGTCATGCAACGAGTAGGGGATATAACAGGGCAAATAGTAAGGGTGACAGGTGCCTCCTCTCGAAGAATACCTGAAGGAATAAAAGAAATATCAAATTTATATACATTAATTTTCACCCATTGATATCTACCATATAGGTATAATTCGAATATCGAATATAGGTGTGAATCACCAAATCCAATATTACTGAGTACTTGGAATAGAATTTTGTGATCAACTCTATCGAAAGCTTTTTAAAAGTCCATAAATATAACATCAACCTGGCATTTACTTTCGAAAGCTTCGAAAATAAAATTATTGAGGATCAACAATTTCATCACGAAAAAAATTAAAAAGGAAAGTAGAAAATTGGAAACGAAATTACATGATTTTGAATGGACTGCATTTACCAGTAAACCTATAATGATGACCGCACACTAGTAGAGCAAAAGTGTTTTAAAGCGACTTAAAGCGCTTTATTGTGACTAAAAAAAAATGAAACTCGTGTTTTTCATTGAAAAAACACACTAATAAAGTACAGAGAAAACAAAACATTTTTGGCTTTATTCATGAATAATGATGCTTTATTTGAATAGAACATATTCTATTTTGATTAGTCATATTAAAGAAGTCGACGAGTATGTTTATCAATTGACAAGTTATGTTTTGCTATTTCAATAATAATAATTATTGTACTTTCATATAATCAATTCAATATTATTTTATATCATTTTAAATACCAAGTATATTCAGGTAATTATGTATTGTATTATAACTAATTAAATACATTCAGTTATTTTAATATTAAAATTGAATTGTTTATAATTATAGTATGAATGAAGAACACTGCAGGGTAAAGTCACTAAAATTTGTTCCTCTGGAGTAATATTTCTTCTTAAATTGGTATCTGGTTTTTGAATTTCGTTATTCATTCACGTACAATTTTTAAATTTACATTAATCATTTCGAAGTTTGAAAATGAAGCATGTTATTAGATTATTTTCTTATAAGTTTTAAGTTTAAAGGATGAAGACACAGTCGTTCACTATTTTCTCTTCGTTCAATTTCATTTAAAAGGCACCATAAAATTAAAACAATGTCTTCATTCTAAGACATTTTGTTGACTAATCGTGGTTTGACTAATTATGTATTATTAGTGTACTATCGTGTGCTTTATTGTAATTAGAAAAAAATAACTTATCTTGTCTTAAGTCACTTTGAAGTACTTTTAATTAACCAGTGTGCGGTTACAATGAAGAGAACCCGAAAATCAGTTAATTTCTGATTCATTAATTAATCGAAAAAGTGGAAAATTCGGAAGAAACGGTTATTAATAATATTGATATAATAGATGTTGAAGAATTTAAGAATGTCTTTGATGAAATACAAATACCGAATAAAATGTATTCTCCACAGATTAATGATGAATTTATTAGTTCAAAGACTACGCGATAATAATGTTATAGAAAAAAAAAATCAAAATGCTGAAATTAAACTATAGGCAAAGATCCAAGTACTCGGACAAATTTATCAAACTCGGACAGGTGTTTTATTATTTCACTCGCTGCTTTTCTCGCCCTTCCTCACTGCTGTCATTGTTTATTGAAAAATTACAGCTAATAAACCTACTAATTTTAGATTCTGTTTCCAATATGTGGGACAGACTAACGAATATAAGTAACTAACAAACTATACAATAAAAAAAAAGTTACCCTTTATTTAACTTAACTAACTTAACACTACTGTAGTTATCTACGCTTTGAGTCTTCTCGGCCCGGTTCGAGATACTAACAGCCTGGAGGCTAGCTACTGCGCGTTCTAGGACTTTTTCGAAACACAAGAGCGCGGACACTTCCAGTTTAACTGGTGTAGTGGAAGGTCACACCATAGGTCGTCGATTAACTCTAACTTCGGTATCCCTAATTCTCTGGTTATGATGCCTGCTGTGATCGGGCGCAGAAAAGGTCCTGAATTTCACTGCAGGGGGTTTTCTAAAATTATTTTTATTAAAAAGGTTACCTAACGATGAAAAAATACCTTGAGACTAGACTTTAATTATTTGACTATAATATGACATAATATATATTGTTGAGATAGCATCAGCTATCAACTGAACTCCACTTAGAATCGGTTTTCATTAGCAATGGTTTATCGTTGCTTACGATATACATTAAATTTCCTTCTGTATTTTACCTTTCCAACATCCCGCATACAACAGTGGCTGCTCCCACGTGCGAAGTTTTTCCGTCTTTTTCTTCATTTACCTGTGATTCCCAGCGCAATTGATATACACCCAGAGTCCTTAGTCCTTATCTATAGTTATTCGTACTATAGTATTTATAATCAATGTTACTACTTACCTTACCTATTCACTGCAATAATTTGAAATGTAGTAGGTTACAAATAATTATATACCGCATTATTGTTGTTGAGTCGTGAATACGATTTTAATTAATATTAATATTTTTGTAGGTCTTTATTGTAGGCTGCAGGTAATACTGTAGTAGGTACAAAACAATAGGTTTTATATGATGTGTGCATGCCGTTCAATTCGTTCAAACAATTGCTGGCATAATAAGCGTTAAGTTTTAGGTATCGTATAATATTTTTCGTAATCGTATATAACGGCAGTGTTCGGGATGGATTTTTAGAAAACGACGGCAAATAACATAGGCGCAAGAACCTACGGCTAACCGTCAAAATGATTGTAGAAAATATTACGATCCAATTATTTTTAGATAAGTACGAAATACCTATACGTTATAAACTACTTCAGGACGTTTTTGTGATTAGTGGCTTTCCCAGGTATTTATAGTGAAACCCTTTTATCTATCTACTTCCCCATGTAAACAGTATTAAATTACTAAATTAGGGGTTATAATCCCTAACGTCTTACCCCCTTCGCACGCCACGGTTTGTGACTACTCGTATAGTGCAGTGGCGTATCTATGATTTTTTTCTAGGGGATGATATGGCCAAAATCATTTTGCACATTAGAAGCCAGGGGGGATAAACATCACCTAGGACATCTATCCGCCGATGCCATCATAGATGAATTAAAAAACACATTGTATATTGACTACTGTCTACTATTAACTACTAATGATAACGGACTAATTAAGAATACTGTTACGCCGTAATCTATGACCATGATTAATGGTTGTAGTTACTGGTTACGTTACTATCGAATACCTACACAATAATAATGTTATGATTATCTGTCACTCGTGGTTACGGTTCAAGAATTTAAAAGAAAAATTAAATTAATCAAAAAAAAAAAAATATATATATAACCCATCTGGGTTATATATATATTTTTTTTATAAAAAACCGTATTGTGGGGTGGGGGTGATCTCACCCCCACCCTCGTAAATACGCCACTGGTATGGTATATATTATTATTTATACTTATTACCTGCGCAAACAATAGAATTGTGAGTCGCGACCAGAAGAATCGTAAATATTTCTTGCATAATTATTATTATTATCCATTATTTAAGTATTGCTCGAATCGTTTGAATCTATGATGAATAGGAGGTGGTAGGTACTACAACAATAACAATATGTGCATCCATGAAAACGTACCTGTTTCGAGAATGTGGTAGAATAACATATACAGGAATAATGTATGGGTCGGTGACTAGTGATATGTATCAGGGGGGGGGATAGGGGCTATATCCCTGCCAATTGGATTTAAACACAAAACATATTATAAGTAATTATGTAGTAATTAAATCTTGATATGTATAAATATTTCAACCAAGTTACGTAGTAAAGCATAATTAATTGGTTAGAAATTTAATTTTTATGGATTTGGCTTTTAAATTCCTATAGTCGTGTTGAGTGGAAAAGATTTTACGATTTATTAATTAGGTATTCATACTTCTTATTTACTATATACCCTCCTACTGGAAATTCCTGGGCACGCCACTGTCGACAACGACGTTTCGGATTTGGACAGTAAAACAAGAGTTTTCGATCAACCCGATTCCTCGCAGGACCGCGCGTCTTCTACAGGCCATCGAACGCCAAAGTCCAAATATGGTGTTTGTATTGCCCCGCAAATAATAATACACGAACGGGACGCGCGCGCATAGCGGCGCAATGTGGCGTGTATACGGCGGCGTCGGTATTCTCGTCTCGTCTCGTTTTCTTTCTCTCTCGCTTGCTCTCTTTCTGGCGCACACGCGCATGCGTCGTAAGCTATTCGTCGTCGGCCGACCTACGGGCTTCGGCCGAGGTTAGTTTAAAAGAGCACTCGTCATCGTGTGCGCAGTCCAATACGCGTCCGCAGTTCGAGAGAAAAAATTAATCACTCGTGTATTTCGTTTTCGTTTTCGTTTTTTTTTCTCGTTTCTTATGAAAAATAATACCTAATAATATATAAACAAAACAACCGGACCGCACGCGCACAATCGATCGACGTCATAATAATAATTCACAACAACTCGAGGATCGCTCCGACCTCTCCGCAAATGAATTATTTTATTAATTATTTTAATACACGCGCTTAATCATTTTGTTAAATACCTACACCTATTAATAATCGAAATCACAATATTATATAAGCTGACTAGTGCGACGCGTGTTATCTCTATCAAAAATAAAAAAATCGTACAACTCTACACGGCGACGCAACACTGCCAGCTACTATATTATCATCGTGTTAACAACTCATTATTATATTAATAGTTGTGTAGCATCATTGTGTTCATTTTGCCGTTCAAATAACACGCGAAAAATGTTATCAAACCTCGTTTGATAATATTCTATTATATACAACACGACCGACCGAGGAATACACGCCGCCGCCGTCGATCAATCGCTAACGTCGCCGTCGTCTCCTGAGGAGGATCCGAAGAACTTTCTGACCACCGCCACAGCGCCGGTGTTCACTGCACTTCGTTGTCGTCCGACAGACTTCCCATGAAAATGACGGAAATGAACGCGGTCAACACGCAGAGCATCGCCGACTATTTGGCGCAACTGCTCAAAGACCGCAAGCAGATCACCGCGTTTCCGAACATGTTCATGCATGTCGAACGGCTCATCGACGAAGGTAATAATATTGCACAATGACACGTTCGTTTAAATGACACCTAGTAATTTTTTTCGCATCGTAAAACGGTAATTGGCGTAGGTTCTGCCCTCGAATTGGCGGCAGCACCTGTCGTAACATTGTTTTTAATCTTTGAATATTATTATTATATTCTTCACCTATGTTGACTGACCGTACCCGTCTGTATATTGTATTTTGTGTGTGTGTGTGTGTGTGTGCGTGCATGTGTGAGTGGCTAATAATAATAAATATTTTATGTAGTAGGCACTTATCTGTTTTAGTATTATCATTTATCAGTGCATTGTAGTTTCCGACGCCACCGCGACGCCTGATAAGACGGTTTCAGCTGATTTTAATGACCATCCGCTTTTTAATAATAAATAGGTATCTTTTCGATAGGCAGGTAGGTTGTGTTTTTCACACCCGCATCGTTTTTAGTTTTTCATGGGACGTCGATGGCCCAATAAAAACAATTATCGGTCGTCGGCGGGCGGGACGCGCGCATCTCGTTTTTCCCGTTTTGCCCTTCGTTTCCCCCCTACGCACCCGCTCCTTTCACATACACTCACATACACTCCCGTCTATTCTCGTCGTCTACCACGATTCCAATCAATTTTCAGCCCAAAGCTGCTCTCCTCTGTTTCATCGCCGTCGACGATTCCCCACAAGAAAAACACCTTCGGAACAGCACCGTGTAGAGTCGGCAGCGTTTTTACTCGATGACGACGTAAACAGGTTGGCCGTATAAACACAACGTAAAAAAAAAGGGTTTGGTCTCGTGTGTGTGTGTAATAATCGTATGTATAGGTACGTGTATATACAATACGCGGGCGTGCGCGTGTGTGTGTGTTTATGAGCGCGCGGCAAGTGAAGGCCACGCGCGCGCTCGCGTTCAAGACGTTGCCATTTACAAGCCGCCGCCGCCGGTCGTATACGTGTATACGTTTTATGTGCGCGCACAGATTCGGTTTCACGACCGGAATGTGGCGGCGGCGCGGCGGTTGCAGCGGAGGTACTACACCGCCGGCCCACGTGTTCTACAGGTGCCGCCGCTGCGTTTCGCCTCCGTACACCTGTGCGCAGGGATCGTGACGGTGGGCCAGACGATGACGAGGCCTAGGCCGGAATCGGGTGACTGTACAGTCAACGGAACCCGGCCCTCGGACGGTAATCCGTCAACCGTTGCCATCGGTCCCTGACCGTCCCCGGATAGGTTTTCTACACACATGGAATATAATAGTTTCGCAAGGCCCGCAACAAGTGTGTGTTTATGTGTGTGTGTACTAAGCTGCCGCACCTCGCACGACCACCACCGCGTACGTTCGAATCTCGTCTTAAAATGGGAACGCATATTACCAATAATATATTGTTTTATATATTATTATTATTATTTTTCATCGCCCAATGTGTGTGCGTGCATAAATCGAGGTGGTAGCATGTATTATTATATTATCTGTACACATCATAATTTTTAATAACAGCTACGTTAGTACGACGTTGAATACAATATTATGGTTAATTATTACTATTTTTCTCCTCCATAATATTATAATATTTTTCGTCGATACGAACTTCACGTGTTTTGTATATAGGGGGTTCCTTGCAGTTGGTGACTATTCCAAATTAACTGTAATATTAATATCATAAATATTATTGTACAAGCCATGCGTGTGTGTGATAACTTGTTACCCCCTCTACTAGACGTTATCGTATTGTTACTTGCTTTAGCTAAAAATTATTATTAGATACTTTATTATTATTATTGGATCGTGAGAAAATAACTTTGCGATAAAATGTCGCTGTAAAAATGCAGCCGTCGAGCTACGATGACTATAAAAATAATAATAATAGAAGTCACGTTACCACATTGCATTCAAATAAGCGATATTTAGTTTTGAAAACTTAAACGTAATAACAATGACCTCTCCTCGACTTTTAATCTAAAAGAGATTTAAAAATAATGAAAACTAATTCTCTAAATACCACGTTTGACCCCACGTATACCATATTTTTTTTCGTCCCACGCAAGTTTTTTTACTTTCGACTACCTCTATACCAGCACGGCATTTAAAAGTATGTAGCAAAATTATACAGCACATAAGTAAGACTTAGAAAATAAGAAATATAAACCTTCTACGCCGTACAAATAATTAACATTTTAGATTCTGAGTGAAGCAAGAAACGTATTGGTTTTATCTGGAGTTTACTACACGTTTTATTTATCTATTTATTTATTATTATTTATATATTCTTCAAAAAAAGAATACTGGGCTTCACTGAGTATTCTTGTGAGGAGGCCCAGGGGTTATTATATAAATATAAGTATAATTATTAATGAAATATATGTATAGAGCTTAAAAATGATTAATTATATAGTATAAAGAGAAAAAAAAATGTATACCTAATGTTTAATAAAATTAAATGTAAAAAAAAATGATGGACATATTTCGCACGTGGGTGAAGCCATTATTATAAGTGGGAAGTTAGGAAGGTAAAATACGATAAACCATTGCTAACGAAAAAACGATTCTGAGCCGAGTTCAGTTTATAATATTGCTTTGTCAACAATACAATATATGGTACTATGTCATATTATGGTAAAATGATTAAAACAGTGTGCGTTTTCATGACAATAATAATCGTATAAAAAAGATTAAAATAATAACAAAAAAAATAAATAAAAACGCTTGTCAATGACAACTTTATTTTTAATCTTCCAATTTTTTTTAACCTTAAGACTGAAGTTTTCCTCATTATCTCGAATATTAATGAGAATTTCAAAAAATGACCTTTCTATAGTACCACCCAAAGAAAATTTCCTTTCAGAAAAGGTGCTATACTTGAAAATCGGAATATGCTTTCTGGTAAAAAAAGTGTTCACATAAAAAAAAATAAACACTATTATAGAACCAATACATTCCTTGTTCCACTAAGAATCTAAAAAAAATTATTTTTTTTCAAGTTTATAAATAAATTTGAAACGGTAAAAATTAAACATAAATCATGACGCACATATATAATTATAATCATAAATCACTGTTAAATTAAAAAAAAAAGAAGCCATTTTGTAAAGTCTTTTTTAAACTTTTTTAGTGTTAATGTGTGTAGGTGTTTTGGTATTAGATTTAGAATCTTAGTATCGATAAAATTATTTATTTTTCGGGAGCTTGTTTTATGAAGCTATTGTATTGTATAATTAATATTAATAAACTTAGTACCAATACCATGACACCAGGGGTGATGGGACATTATGATTTTTTAAAAATAGGACTGCTGATTCCAAATATAAGTTTTTAATATTTAGGCTATTTAAATTTTCATAAAATTTTATCGTATGATATTTTTGTCTTTTTTAAGACGTTTCCTAATTAATGTATTTTTACTAGTTTGCAATTGAGAGAGAACGTTATCATAAAAACCTCCCCTGCCTATTATTCCTAATGAAATAATTGGTTACAGTGCCAAGTAAATAAACCTTAAATAGTTTTAACTTGAGATATCTTTAAGTTCTCTCATTATATAAATCATTTTTCTAGATTTTTGTGTTATTGAATTTATTTCATTCAATTTCATATTTTAGCATATTTCTACATCCAAATATTTAACGTTATTCACAACGTTTATTTTCTTAAATTGGCAATTTATATCATAAATATTATACGTATCATTATGTAGTATAATATATTATATTTTTTTGTTTGGTAACATATTTATTTTCCATGAATGTAATAGAATAACGGTTTTTTCCTAAAAATATATTATTTATATTAAGCTATTGCCCTATAATTTTTAGATTTACTGTTATAGTTTTAAACACCTCTTCCCATGTATTTTTAGAGCAAATTAAAACGTTGTCATCAGCATAACAAACTAAAGTACTTTTTAAGGATAAGTTTTTAATGTTATTTAGCTGTATATTGAACAAAATAGGTGAAATTATCGTTCCTTGCGATACCCCATTCCTTTCATTTACAATGTACAGTAAATAATATTTGTTGTTTTTGATATTTCTTGATCTGTACCTTTTATTAGTCTAAAACCAAACTGGTTTTCAAATAATACATTTTTTTTTATTTCTGAAAATTTAATCAGTTTATTTTTAATTATTTTTTCAAACACTTTTGCCACATTTGATATTAAAGAAATCGTTCATTAATTACTTATTGAAATATATGTTCCTTTTTTATGAATAGGGGTGACTATCGAAATTTTAAAAGCGTTGAGTATACTATTATGGTTAAGATATAAGTTAATATATTTTAGAGGAAGACAAAGAATTAGTTCATGGTTTTTTAATAATTCTGATGTTTATTTTATCAGCTCCGGGAGCAGATCTATTTTTGAATTAAAGATAGCTCTTAATATTTTATTTTCAATTATACCTATCGTAAAATGTATTAAGATTAAGTTTTTTAGGCATTATTTTGCTATCAGTTGTATTTAGATTTAAAATATATCTATTGAATTTTGTCTTATGATTATTCAATTTGGTGATTAATTCAGTATTTGTTTCTATAAACAACTTTTCAACCTAAAATCTTACTTCAATCAAAAATTGTATAAGAACATTCTTGTAAAATTTTGCATTAAGTTAGTGGACTGAGAAGTAATTTTTAACTTTCCTTAAAGATTTCTTAATAAACAACAAAAACTGGGAAATTGTTGTATAATTTTGATTTTAATTTTGGGTTATCTTGTCAAAAAGGGAAACCATAAGACGAATAGTACTCAGTCCAGAATCGGTTTTCGTTTTATACAGATAGAAATTAAATTACTCTGTATAATATCTCCTCTTCCAATTTCCCTGTGACTGGGCGTACCCATTAGCAGTATCGGCCTTTTTTAAAATTCAGAACGGGAAGTTATAAACTTATAACTCATAATATTCATTGAATACAGCGATAAATTCAGAAACACTTTAAAATAATATTTGGTATAACCATTCATAAAAACGCTGGATAAAATGTTTAATTACAGTATCTAAATGATTTTAAGAATTTATTATGATTCGTGTACTTACATCTTGAGGATTTAGTATTGCTCGGTATGAATATTATCTATATTTGGTTCCATTAAAGAAATAATAAATAAAAATGACTTTTCGCGTAACCTGTATGCGTATTGTAATTGACATACTATAATAATGACGTACGCTGTATGACTCAAAACAGCCGACGGTGTGCATTTTTTTTGTAAGTGGGTGAAGAGAAAAAAAAATGTGTGATTAAGTTTAATCACGAATATTGTACTATACATAATGGTAAATGAGACACGATTTAATTTTTTTTATAGAATATTTGTACTGCATTTTTCTTTTATTTCTATAAATCGACATAGATACCGCTGCCGCGCTTAAAATGCACACTAGCGCGTTCATCGATGAAAGTTGCTCTATGAGTTTTGTTTATAAATATTGTAAAAAAAAAAAAAAACTTCACTATAAAATTGATATTGTTTTAGATTGTGCGAAGAAGAAGTCATTAGTATTTAGTTTTACTGAAAAAAACACTTTGAATAATAAAAGTACTTGCGTAAATGGGTTCTTTACCATGCGAAATTTCTACCCGATATAGTACTTTATTTTACTTGATACATTTATCAATATTTTCTGCAGTTCAGCCGTGGTTTTGTTTTTTGATTTTTGTTGATTTCTAGGTTCCTTTTATAGGCGTTCTCATGAGAAGTGCAAGGTTCTCCACTCAGAATCGTTTTCGTTTTGCAATTATTTGTCCTTGGATTTGTCATTGTCAAAGTAATGTGTGCATTATCAGTTTTTGTAAAGTTTAAGTTGTTAAGAACATAGCATATACGTATCATCAACGTACACAGCGTATCATTACTATGTATTCGAACGAATAAATTAAAGTGATTCGACGTTAAACTTTGTAGATTTTCAAGATACGTCTGAAGCGAAAAATGTTTTTTGCTTCGATTTATTTTACGTTTAAATGATGTTTATGATATATTACTTAATTGTTATAATATTTTGGTTTTCATTATTTCCAAGATTATTCCTTAAGCTAGACAATTTAATGTTTTACTAATTTTTTGATAAATGTTTAACTATATTATTTTTTGTAGACAATATAATGAAGTAAAAAAAAAATTAATTTTTGCACATTTTTTATACTTACCCGAATTGCCCATGTTTATAATATACTGGCATCAAATTTCACACTTATGCAAAGTTATACACAAGTGTGATAAATTCTAACTGCATGGTTAGTTAACATATTTTAATGGACCAATTATGGGTCGCTATTTAATGTGTTTAAGAGTGGATTGCTAAATTTGTTTGTAAAATTTTAAGACCCATTTAGTGGACGGCCGTATGCACGTTTTAAATATTTTCTGCTAGTTTTTTTTTATGGTGTTAAGTACCGATATTATATTATCTTTGCCATAAACGAATGCGCATTATACTGTAATTTACTGGATTTTTTCTCGTCATAAACGTAATTCCTTTTCGCGTAAACTATGCGTTGAAAGTTTAAATAATATTTTTTTTTCCAATTTATTATTACCTATCTATTTAACATAATTCCACTTTATTTAAGTATAGGTACACTTATAAATGTCATTATAGGAAAACGGAATGCAAGTTCTTTTTTATTGTTATTCATTTTAAAATCGATTATTGCATTAGGAAAAAGGTTTCTGGTAATAGAACTAAAAAAAATGTTTACATTTTTTTAATGACTTCTGGATGTTTTTTATTTTATCAAATTTATTTATATAAATAGATATTTGGGTCTATTTTTATGACTGACACTGATTAATATTTAATGAAAATATATTGTTTCCGTTTGAATTTATTATTTTCATAGTTTATTCGGTGAAAGTTTTCCGTATAGAAATAAAAAGTACAATTATCATAATTTCGAATATTTTTTAGATTGTCTTATGTCGTAATAATAATTATTGTGATTCGTATGTATATTTTGTATACTGTTGTTTACCGTAGGTGTGGAGTTTTTTATGTCATTCGAGATGAATATAATAAAACGATGGCGAGATCCAATATTATTATTTTCTGTATAGCTTTCTATTTCGTTTAGACTTTAAATAAAAATTGAATTTTACGCGTTTCGACAGATTCTACGTGTAAACGTGTAAAACATTTACATCGCGATTCGCGTATACAGATTTTGGTCACTATGTTTTGATAGAAAGTACATAATGTGACGTATACTACTTCTCTCCACCAATAATATTCTCGGAAACATCGATCGTTTAGCGATTTCAGATCGCTAGGTTTACGGTTCGTTAGACCGGAGGCTAAAGTAATATAATATAGACGGGTAATTAGTCGAAAAAAAAAAACAAAAACGGGTTATTCGGTGCGTATACAATTGTATATCGCTCGGTAGATTTTATAGTAAATAGCTGCAGGTATAGGTATTGTTAGTGAAATATCGCGGGCACTTCGACTCGTTTAAATTCGATTTGTATACGTGCAAAAAGGTTGTCGTCACCGTAATCACGAGATGCGGTAATTTTCTGCGCAATTGCATCTGACTCGGTGTAAGGAGAACCTTGGTGACTGCAGTCGGACGATGTTTTCCGGAATCGTCAGTGTGCACAGTCGTTGTCGTTGTTAGTTTCACACCGCCTTTAAAGCAAGGGAAATTAACGCGCAAGGCTGTTTCGCACAGCAGCTAGTGATTCCGGCGATGGGGCCGTGGATTTTTATCGTCATGTCGATGTTTTACGAAAGTGCCTCCCGCGCGACAAGAGCGTGACATCAGTTCGGGTTAGTGTACTATTATCGGTATATTTAAGGCCGACCAAATAATAATATTTTTTATCGTCCGACTATAATAAAAACCAAAAAAACGACCTGGCTATTGTTATAATTGTTGTTTCGATGCAGAAAAACCTCGTAACATTTCTCTTTCAACCCCCCCCCCTTTCAAAACCTCTGTATTTTTATTTTTTATGTAATCTACAGGTGTTGAAAACGCGTGTGCACACCCTTTGGGCGCCGACCTACATACGTCACGTGTTTTAATCTCCCTCGCCCCGCCCTTCCATTACCTGCGCAGCACAACAAATTGTCCGCCCTTGGCCGATTCTGCACGCGCGCGTATTATGCATTTTATTATTATTGTTGTTTTCGTTGTCGTCATATCCTGAGCACACACGTACACATGGAATATTGTCTCCGGCGCAATGATGATAATAATATATAGTATAAAAATTGTCAACGACGAAGTTTGTTGGGGACGACGACGTGTCTATGTCGCAACTCTATCGCCCCGCGTGCGTATATAATAATTTTCATCCGACCAAGTGCCACTGACCTGCATTACTATCTATGGATGTGGTTTGAAAGTTCTCTGCCGCCAGTTTTCGTGCACACTCTATACTCGACCAGATGTGCGCCGGCGCCACCAGATTTATCATAGCATACCTACCAACCTATGGTACACAGTGGCTTTCACACGTATACCTACTCGCATTTCCTATCGCATGCTGCAGCCGCGATACGATTATTATTGTTATTATTATTACGATCGTTACTCTTCGTCGAGTGTGTGATAGCAAGCGGTTTCGGTGATGTCTGTACAACTATACTATAGGGGCGAGAGGAACGATTTCGGATTATTCCGTTCGAACATCATTCGTGATAATTTCATTTTTTTTACGCTTAATACCTACTTCATATTTCTGTTTCTCTCGCTCCGCAGTTTATTATCAGGCAGGCCGACACATTGTTCATAAAGAACGCGACGAGTATAATTATAGTCAAGACGGAAACAATGATGATCCACAAAAATAATAATATTATCAACGGTGATTCGTCTGCAGCAGCTATATAACTGCTATGCACTGCACAGTGTGTACATAGCCTGGAGCTTTATATTATTATTATTTTAACGAGTGAAAAATTTTTGGTTTGGCCCACTTGCCAAAAAAGGGACTGGTCACCGAGCCTGTAATTTTCTAACGTTGTGTCTGCGATTGGAAACCGCGCGAGAACCGGAATATTATTTTGTACCTATATGCGAGCGAACGAATCTCATATTATCATTGTCTACACCGCCGTGCCTCCCTGGACGACGAGAATGGTAGGTATATAGCATAAGTAGGTAGCTACTTATACGACGTCCGAGTTAAAAAGTCGTGTTACGCGACGAGATCGAATTTCATAACGTATACGTTATAAATTAAAATGTGTATTTGAGTATACGAGGGGCTCATTATCTTTTGTACACATAATAATAATTCGAATTTTTTTCCTATTCAGTCTTGCATATTTTTTTATTTTTTGAGATGATTATTTGAAGGATTGCATATTTATTTTAAATCCCGAGTTAATTCGTATTTCGGTGTCGGTATACCGCGCATATGTATAATATTACAAACCGTTTACGTATTATATTTGCCGTCTTATAAAAATCAGTATAGACAACAATATTATTAACTTTTAGGTACAGTATTTTGATAAAAATAAATTATATATAGGTCAAACTAAAGTCGGTGACAAACTCGTTAATGTTTTTTTTTTCTTTTTTTCGTGCACAATATTCTATGCACAGTGCATGTGTGAGGCGTGACTTGTCCATTACGAATCGGTTAAATAACCATTTAATTAACCGTCATATTGTTAGTGTATTATACCTACTAATTATTGTTTCTCTCAAAATGCTGTTACTTCAGTAGAGTTAATTTACCTATAATATTATAATCAAAACTAACGTATTCCAAAAATCACGTTTTCAAAAAATGAACAAGTGGGAAAGGGTTTTCCTGTATAGCAATGAAGAAATCTAAAATGCATATTTTATGCAATATAGGCTAAGAAAATTAAAAGTTTTAAGATATTTAGTATTTTATTTTTTAAATTCCGAGCGTAGCGAAGGAGCTATTGGTTTTCTTAAGATATTTTTTTTTTTAATAAGCGTTTTAAAATCAAATTTAAACGAAAATCTCAAAAGAAATTACGGCACTTTAAATTATATATTACTGAACTGCACTCGGTAATCGTCTTTCGTCGAGCAGTAGTTTATCGTTGCTTACAGATATAAATGTAATAACTTTATGTATCTTACTTTCCCAACTTCTCACCTACAACAGTGGCTGCTTCCATCCCCAGTATCAGCTCTTTTTTGAAGTTGAAGTTAAAGTTTAGATCATGTGAGTTTTGTTTCCAAGGTACACGGAACGTGTGAGTTTTGATAATAGTTAAATAAAATACAAGAGTTTTCTATGAAACATGTAATTTTTGATTCGGGTTAAATGGGGTGGGTTTAGTATCAAGATTCATATGATCCAATGGAATTTGTTATTTTTAATAAAAAGGCGCTATTTCCGGTTCAATTTAGATTTTTCCTTGTACTTTTTGAAATTAACTGATTGCAGAATGGGATTTGTCTTCAAAACTCCCGTTAAAACTGCATCATCGCCTACACATTTATCCTTGTTTGCCAATTATGCGTAGTTCGAACTATAAACGTGATAAATATTCACGCGGAAAACATTTTTTCGCTAACTCCATCCACCTGATGTCTGAAGAATTGTCTCGGGCTTCGTCGTATTTTAATACTAACCATACGTTGAAAAACGCGTCTATAAATACAACAATATAAATAATATAATAATCATCCATACGAACGATGAAAAATCAATTTCTGGTAACCTACGGCCTTATAAAGACGGGAGGGGGAAGCAAGGTTGATTATCGTTTAAAACTCAATTATAAAATCGTTTACGAAATGTTATTATGTATATTACTTGAACTCAGTAATTGATCATTGAATTTAAAAATACCTAGTAGACGTATTCGTGGTTGTTTTTTCATTTGCTACGACAGCAGTGTACCATATTATGTTTTTTTTTCATTCGTGTTCCATTTATTCTATAAAATCGCAGTAATAATAAATCATACATATATGTAAGGATTTCTCGTATAGGTGCATTATGTGTCTTGTAGTTTGAAATTTGCAGTGTATATAAATGCATTTCTGAACGTGGTCAAATATTTAAATCATTCTAGTGATTTTTAAACTATTTAAAACTGTCGACGGTTTTTAGTTTCTATTTTGTTTTACGTATAAATTCCTTTCAGTACAGCACAAAAACAAGAAAGTTTAACACGAGGTTCATCAAAAGTTGTACTTAGTGGCCTACAAAATAAAAAAAAGTTTAGCATAATGTATTAATTATGTTTCATAATCGTTTAAAATTATTATTTTTGATGAAAATCATAAGTTACTGTCATTTCGTGTACTTACCTACTGTATTTTCCAATTTATGCAGGTACCTATAGGCTATAACATTTTTTGGTTCAATCATAAAAACGCTCGAAAATTTAAAACGAAAAAACACGGACAATAATTATTATTATGATTTATTTTGTACGGTTACAAATGAAGATAATAATTTTCAGTTTAAGTTTTTTTATTATTATCATTTAAAAATAGGATAGAAAAAAAAACGAAATAACACAAAATCTTGGAACGAGGGGATTCGCGCCGCCGCCGTTCAGTCCGTTTATAAATAAAGATAGTGTTGAAAAAGTCAAAATGGCGTCACACAGCAGATGCCAAGTGCATATTACGGTCTATTCTTGGACCTGGCGTCTGCATCGCGTGCGACGTGTTTTCTCCCCTTCAAAAGACTCGCTCTGTACACCAAAATATAAAATAATATTACCGACCGACTGTACACGGTGATACGGAAATAAAAAAAAAAAATGCACACGTTTACCAATAATAAAATCCTAATACAATAAGTATTATACACATTTATATTATAATATACCCCGTTATATTGCGTTTAACTTGTGTAAAAAAATAACGAGTTTTCGGCCGTCGCCCGCATAATAACAATTATCATTCAATTACAGTAGAATATTACCCCTAAGTAGCAACTATTATCCCGACGAACAATGGGGGTGGGTTGATTAATATTTTTCATTCGCTCGTTCGTCATCGTACGGTTATTACACACGCAAACGATCAACTAGAGATAATATTTTATTATCCTTCTTAATTAACAATAATAAGGAATTGATAATAGTTTACGTGCGCGTGCGCGGTACTATCGCGGGTTATAGCCTTGGACGGACGGAAAGAAAGGCGCGCGCGATGGTCGGCCAGCCAGCGATCGACCGACCGACGAGATTGGTAATTCGAGACACAACGCCGCGCGACGGAGAACAATGTGAAAACGATAGGCAGGTAGATGATGAACATGTCACACTTGTTGACTTCGGATATAGAGTCGGGAAACGTGTATTGTTTTACCAGCGCGCGATCGTAATCCAATCCAATATTATTATTATTCCCCTCTTCCTCCCATTCAGACAGAGATCCGTGTGTGCGAGAGAAATGTTTTTTTTTTACGAAATAATACGCAACGGGATTTTTTTTTTTCATAATAAATGCGTGTAAATCATGCTCGTTCCCGACTCCGCTACGCTCTATTGTCATTGACCCTTTATACGAATCCTCTTCTATAATATTATATTATAATGATATAATTTATTATGTGTATGTTTTTTGAGAATCACTGGACTACTATACGATTCGGTATTTTTCTGTTCGGTTGTAGTCGTATATTATATTATCGCATGTACGCATACTATGTATAATAATATTTACCTATTACCTATATGAAAAAAAACAATAATATAAACGATATAATCATAACCACCGCATCTTGTAAGCACGCGGCTGTGTCATATGTGTGTGGCTTACCACACGCACATATGTTTTCGTACATAATAATATTATATCGGAAGACAAAGCTCACTCCCGGCGATCTTCCAGCAATACATGCTGTTGTTCATTATATTATTAGAGCAGTGGGTCTAATTTAGAGGAAACGAAAATAATATATTTACCCTTTAATTTCACGAGTACACCGACCGAAATATTTCGTTTCTTAACTTTTATGTTTTCAGGCAGTTGTCTTACGCGGATGACCCTTTTACGCGAAATGCAGAATGTTATAAAATGCATTTTTATACGAATTTAAAAGTAAACTATATATTATTATTATGATATGACTTGTTTAATTTTTAGATTCCCGTGTTAGTTTTTATTTTCCCCCGTGGCTATTTTTACTTTTACAATATTATATTTTATAATAATAACCATCCGCTAATGATAATACTGCCGCATTATAAACTCAGCAAAATATCCAAAAAATTACGTGTGTTTTACACGCGAAACTTATTGGTGCAAAATTATAACGATGCGTTCAGTAGTAAAACGAATATTATTTGTATCATTATATCACTTCACCGTTATACATGCGGTTGTTGTACGGTCTTTTCAAGAGAACGACGACGTTTATTTGTGTAATTTGTGAAAGTTTTTTGCTCTTCAAACGTTGAATGTATTCCACGCACATACGCACACAGGTGGTACCTATATACCTACCGTGGCTTCCTTACTCTGTACGACCGTATGTTATTTATTTATTTTTTTTATCAGTTTCTCAATCGGCTGTGTAGTTGTGCAGTAAAACCGGTGACAGAAGTGGTCACAGCAGGTTTATGGTTTTTTCTTAAGTTATTATTGTTTTACTCTATTTTGACGACAACGGTGGCGTAATAGTATTCATTCTTATATTAAGGGCTGACAAAAAATACTGATAGTTCTAATCGTCACCGCGGTCATCCCCGTTGATGACTAGCCGTCTGTATGTATTATAAAAGAAAAGAAAAAAAAGGGTATTTGTTGTTTAGACCTTGATGCGCACGTCCGCCCCTCCTTAGTGTTGCCGTCGTCATGCGTGGCGGCAACCGGTTTTTATTACTTATATGTATATATATAATAACAAATACGTTTGAAATCTCCTCCCGGAGTCCGGTTCTCGGGCCGCGTTCTATATTACAAACCATCGTCGTCGTCGAGCTATTATAGCAGACCAGCGTAGGTGAGGTGATGGTGTACAGGGTGTATACTGTATATACTATAGTCTAATGATGAAAAAAAGAAAACGAAAACATAATAATAAAAAAGGCCGATACTGCTGATGGGTGTACCACTGTTTTTGGAAGTGACTATAATAATATAGATATATTATAAAGAGAGATTAATTTCATTCGTATGTATTTGTAACGATAAACCGTTGCTAACGAAAAACAATTCTGAGCGGAGCATTATTAATCGTACTTTTCCTCTTATTGCCACGATAACCCGGAAATCTATACAAATTATACAAGTTGCCAGATTTTCCCAAATAAACAAAAAAAAAAAATTGTATTTATTTATCGTATGGTTTGTGTTTAGAATATTAGTAAATTTCTTTAATGCACCAACTAAATAAAAATAATTACTATAAGAAAGTTCATTTTTAAAGTTTTCGATCGGAACAAGGTTTCTAGTAAAAAAGGAAAAAAAAATGCATAATAGTAATAGTAAATAACAAACACATTCCTTGCTTCACTCAGAATCTAAGAATTGATTTTGATATACAATAATTTCGTCGTCGATACCGTCGCCTTCGCCGCACACCGGTAATGCGTAGGTATGTATAATAATATTGTGTGCAGTGTCCGCGAAAAGTGTGGGACGATATTATTTCCTTCTATATATAATACACCTTAAAAAAAAAAAAAACTAATAACCATAATAATGGTAATAAAAAAACAATTTGTACATGCCCGTGATGTGTGCAGTAGTTTGTAGTTGTTTGTCTGCGCCGCCGTCTTGTCGCGCGCGCACATCGGATTGGTTTCCTCATCCGCGACCTTTGAGTAAATTTATAATAATGTTATATAATTTCCGAGCGTTCGAATCTCTTTTATTATATTACTGTATATAATACGGATTATAACTCCGGGATAGTTGTTTACCGGTTCTGCCATAGTCTCGGTGTACGTAATATTTAAACGCCGTCCGATTAAGTTAACGTGCTGTTTGTTACGATTTTTTTCGCACTACTATCTGCTAATCGTCTTAATAATAGTTATAATCAAGAGTTGAAAAAAAAGAACAATGAGTTGTTATTAAATTTATTTTTGGTGACTAGGTATGGGGCTCGAGGGCGTGGGATATATGCACAGAGGCGAAAGAAAAAACTAATATTTTTTTATTCTGTGTGTGTGTGTGTGTGTGCGTGTGCGTGTGCGTGCGCGTGCGCGAGTTTTTTGCTGCTGCAGATGTGTGCGTTTGATACACGTGAGCACGAGGAAAAACGAAAATCGTTTCGCGTACAGACTAAACAATGTGTCGATAAACGAAAATATTATTATGTTATAAATATTGATAGCGATAATACGAACGAGATAATATTAATAATATGCGAACGCCTGGTCGTTGACGTCCGATCGTTTTGGAGATTTATTTGTGTACCTAATACGTTTTCGTTTCAATGATATTATCAATGCTGTGTTATAGAACCACTGCTATTGCACGAATATTAAACACTATCGGGGTTGTTTACCGTGAAAAGTAAAAATGTATTACTTATTTGTGTTTTTTTTTTAGTGGGAAATTGACAGTCGCCAGACAATGGTGCACTCATAGGTTAGGTGCCGCCAGTATAATTAAATATAATGTGATGCACTATGCCCGGGCTAATCAAGTTTTTATATAATACTCGGTCGTATACATGAATACAATAGCGAACCGAATTGGATCCGAAAATCCCTTGTTTTTGACCAGTTTTATACGTCATACTAATTATTAATACCTGTATGGCACAGTAGTCTGGTAGTAATGTTAGCACAGATCCTCCACTACTGTCGGTTTAAAAATAAAAATGCCAATAGGTAGGTGTTATTACTATTATATATTTTTTTTCTTATAGAGTTATGTATTTTATTGCATTGTTGGCATACTAGTCCAGTTATTATTATTATTATTATTACGGTAAGAGTGAAAACCGTCGATCATGTGTCCAAAAAACACCCTTCTTTCAGACAATGGATCGCAGCGGATGTCTGCACTCTGTAATATGTCTCGCATGATGGTTTTATCCAACCCCAATTTAAACCGAATCCCCATCTATAGACGCAAACCACCGTAAACATATATTAGGTTTTTTTGTTCATGTTATTATTTATATTATAATGTATACAAATACAAAATACTGATGTCAGTATTTGTGGAACATCGTTTTTTTTTTTTCATAAGCCGAAAACCTTATAATTTTCAGGCCGTGTTTCATATGAACAAAATACAAATTCGATGTCATTTAACTAACTATTGCAGGGGACAAAAATATTAACAATGTTTGTAAAATTGCAAAAGATATTTTTTTTTTATACTGAAATAATCAAATACGAGTACCTAATACCATATTAGTTTTTCGTTAATTTTATTAAATCTCAAATAATGTTGTTACAGAAATAACAAAAGTCCGGGCCAGCCTGTTCGAAGTGAACGGCGTGAAGAAAGAACCGCTGGTGCTGCCGGAACCGGATGGCGCGCCCGTCACCATTACCGAAAAAGTGTTCGTGCCGGTTAAGGATCATCCGGAGGTAAGAATACGAATATTACATATTATTATATTATTACGGGGATAGATACGTTGACGTGGCACACCCGGTCGTTTAGTAGTTTTTACTATTACTATTACTGTGCTCAACGACGACAAAAACGCAGTGTGTTATTGTTTTCCGGGGCGCGCGCGCAAAGGAAATGGTCTCGATGACATAACGCACAAAAACGACAGACGACACACGGTGTGTTTTGCTCCAAAAATAGAGCGGACAAATATATTATAACATACATACATATTATCGTGTCGTTGACGCCGCCCACGCAGCAGTTTAGACTTCTCGGTGTACGGCTGCAGCTACGTATATATAGTATATAATGCTGTTGGTGATATCCCGTGCCAAGAGTCCGCGAAGCAAAGAGCCGTATCGTGTGTCCACCCTTCCTCTCCACTTTCCTCCCCAACTCCGACGTCGTATGACTAGTGCCCGGGCACTCGCCCAAAATGAAAATATTATATTTTATTATTATAAAAAACGAAAATAAGTAGGTACGAAAATGTTTCATCTTAAATTCACCGAAAATCTCGTGGAGAGTTCGGGAAAAAAACCCCGTGATAAAAATATTATAACAGACACAAATACCGGCAATAGATTTCTCGCTACAAGATTTTATAAAATTGTTTTACAGTAAAATCTGTCTATAATAATATATTCTATATTATTGTACAAACCTTTTTGTAGTTACACGAGAGTAACAATAAAAAAAAGTCCACTTTTATTGTAAAGATTGACGAAAAAAATTACTCTACCTTCCAAAATTCAACTAATCCATGGATCTGTTATAAAAGGTTGTTAGGTACCAAAATATTTAGATTTCGTTGAATGGCACATAGCCATGTGCTTGCAACATTTTCCCTATATACATTATACCTGTCATGTATAATAAACACCATGTCTCTGGTAATGGCGCAATTAGCTCATAAACAATAGAGAGGCTTGAGTCCCACCATAATATTAAATAATATAAATACAATGATGCAGGGGTTATTTTGAAATATATAATATATATTCCAAAACGAATAATATTATTATTTTCATTTTAATTGCACATCGCTGAATTATGGAACACACACCCTTATTATTAAAAGTATCTGTTCTGTTCTTTTGAATTTTTCAAAATGTTTTCTATTCTTTAATAATGTCGAGGACCGGCATCCCATGGTGTCCAGTATTCGTAGGTTATAATCCTCCATTTTTCCCACCATATTGTGCGTTATCCGTATTTCATGTATTTTATCGAATAATTCTAAAAACCCCAACTTTTGAAAGAGGTTTACATTACAGATAAGAGGTTTGAGGTTACTGCAGACAAACGAACCGAACGACGATGATGACGACCACCAAACGTCCATGGGATAATGAAATCACTGTACTGGTTTTCACGTGTTATTATTGAAATGCGTGTGTAGTGTGTCTTTTGTCCGATTTTTCCTCCGATATAAATATAATATACGAGTATCATAGTTACGGTTTCTTCCGTTCAAGGTCCTCTCCATTTCGTGTCCTTCTCCGTAGCCGTCGTCTCGCAGTTTTTCTTTCGGATTTTCGATTCCCACTCCTCCCCGTTCAAACCGCCTATGTTCAACCCAACCTAACCGTCTACAGTAGTTACAATATATTTTATTATATTGTACTATACGCTCGCATTTTTAATTTAATGCACATGTCCGTTACGCGAGTACGACCGCCACGGCCCTTCTCCCGCCTTCGCAGTTAAGACTTCTATAAATACGAGTATTATATTATTATTAATTATTATTATTATTATTATTATTATTATTACTGTGTATAACGTGCGGCAGTCGTATTCGTATACTATTTTTCGTACACGTGTGTATCGTTTTCTACAGCCGAGACCGTCCTGTCGTTCGCCGCCTCCTCCGGTCGATCGTCTCCCCCGCTGCTATAATATATACCCTCGTGATGAGATTTACATCATACACGCCACGTTGGCATCGTCGTCGAGACGTTCGAAAGTGTATTTACTTAAATGAGGTTTCTTTGCTCCCTGCGCACGGCATGTCACAGCAAAGCCATAAATACCAAGGAAATATAGAAGGTATATACTAGATTCGTCCAAAAAAAGCGGTTCGCTTAAAAAGGCGCCCCCTCCCCCTCGACGACATGTTTTGTTTGTAACTAGTAACTATTCATTGCGTAGGTAAAGTAATCAAAGGCGTGTTCCGATGTCGTTTTGAGTGACCTGGTTACTAGATTAGCGAGGAAACTGTTTCAGTAATATTGCTTACTGTAATTATTGTTTGATAATCGAATGCACTTTTCGATAACCAGGTTACCGGAATCAGTAATTAAAAACTACATTTACTGTCTTCGGTTACTGATTATCCATTGGTAAAATACTGTATAGTAAACAAAACATTTTAGTGACAGCGCAATCAAATAGCAAACTGTTATAGAAACTGCATCGTCGAAACACATCTCATGATGAAAACTATATATATACTGGTATGAACGGCGAATAACCATTTTGTCATATAACTAACGTAGCGAATAGAAAATGATTTAGTTAAATAATCAAACCGTGTTTTGTTCGGGAATTATTGGTTGAGTACCTATATATATTGCCTCTATCTAGGAGAACAATAGCGGAAGTCCAGAAAAACGGGAATCAAGGGGGTGCTATGAGGGGTGGTTTAATAACCCATTGACTGAGCGACAAATTATATAGATTTTCTAGTGCAACGTTCTGATTATGTATTTATGTACAATGGACCCAGTTTTAAAACTTTTTTTATGGAATTTTAAATAATTTTCGTTTTCTTCACGTTCGTATATAGTATTACACCTATAATATCAAATTTATAATTTTCAAAATATTTTACACGCTATTTAAATTCGAAATATTGTATTTTACTACATTCTAATGTTTTTTTTTTGGATTTCTAAGATGTCTTGTGCATTAAATTCCTACAGATCTATATAATATAATAATAATAAACTATATAACAAATAAATATATATTAATTTCGCATAGTAATATGTTGCATAAGTAGTTTAAAAAAATTTCATTTTCCGTTGCTTATAGATTTCAAATTTTCATATTTGTGAGAAAGAATGAGGTTCGTTAGCACGTTTATATTTTTAGGAAAATACAAACTCCCTTCCGATCTATAAATATATACAACCATGTTCTTATAAAAGATAATTTAGGAATGTTAGGCTATCAAGTATATGGTCACTTTAAAGGCAGTTTTACTTTATATTTTAACCACTACTTCAATAGCGTGATGAGCGTATTTTGAGGTTAGTTAGGTTGAAAAATCACAGTTAAAATAAATAACAATTAAAAAAAATATATATTGTTATTTATTTTTAAAAATTAAATATATACCTATATTATATATAAAAACCAGTAAATTAAATTAAATCGTAAATTTTCGAAATTTTTAACCATTTTAAACGTTTGAACATGACCGCAATAAAGTCCGGTTTAAGGTGCTCCAGGACAAAACGTGGTTAATAAGTGAACTAAAACTACATCTTTAAGTGACCGCAAAATTAACACGGATGAGATAGCCAGTGTTCCGACCTTATTTTTTAAGACCGCGTGTACAATCGATTTTTAACCCCCTCCCTGGTCTTCCTCCATTCCTGCCCCGTTGCAAACATTTCCGAGCACGTCCCCAGTCGAAAAAACAAGATACAAAATTATTTTCGTAAAAATAATATTATAACGTTATTGTACGAGAAATCGACGTTATGGCGGTCGTTTAAACAATGAACAGTTTGTTTCGCGTGCATGATGGCCGCCGCCGTTGTCGCAACACTACCGAGTCGCGGTGATTCGTCCGGAAAATAAGTCCCCACGACGATTTTGTGTGCGCACCGGCTGTGGTGACCCTTTTTTCGCATTTTTTTTCTCATATCGTCTGGTCTGGTCAGTGTTAACGATACTCTCGGCATTCTATTTTTAAGACACCGTAAAACAACACGATCCACGAGAAAAACGACTCGACGCAAATGTGTGAAAATAAACTACCTACGTATAAAAATATGTTAAATAACATATTATTTTTTTTCATATAATATCGAGTACTTTTGAATTTTATTTATTTATATGAATAACATAATTATATAATACATAATTGTTTACCTCACGAGTATTGCTGACGTGCACAAGCATTTATTATTATATAAACGATCGATCTATGCGGAATACCTTGCACTACATTAATAATTAGTACCCTATCCTATACCTTAAAATGAAATAATATTTTTAGAAACTATTTTTATTATATTCTCGTTTATTGTATTGTATATTGTTACGTTCTGCGAGAAATCCATTTGTTTGTTGAGAAAAACATTTGGTTCTTTTAAGCGCAAGTACTAAACATTAGAGAATTATAATATTATTTAGTAATTTCAACCATCCCATATAAATAATGTACGCCCAGTGATCGTGCAGTCACGTATGATACAACGGACGAAAATAACTATTCTAATGATTTAATAATAATATTTTATTCGTGTTTCCTTTTAATATATTAAGGAAAATTACATTTGTCCAAAAAATTAATTTTACATAATCATTTTAGTAATGTTTAAATTAGACGTGAGGACAACGGAATCTCGAAATTTTAACTCAGAGGGTCGTCAAATTAGAATAATTTGCCGTCTATATTTTTCAAATGAACAATATATATAGTAAAAACGTGTTCAATATTAGAAATAAAACATAAAAAAAAAGTCGATTCAGCTGATTTGTGCACCATGGTTATAGAACTAAGATGTTGAGAAGGTAGAATACATAAAGTTATTTAAATTATTTCTGTAAACAATGATAAACGAAGTAAAGTTCTGAACAAATTTTGGTTATAACTACATGATTTGAAAGGATATTCGTAATATTTACGATTTATTAAATTTGATTTTAAAACAAAATAAAAGGGAAATACTTCGCCCATGAGTGGGCTACTGTAGTAGGTGAGAAGTTGGGAAGATATGATATAAAGGGGATCTTAATATATTTTTGTATGTAATCGCTAGTAATGATTCTGAGCGGAATTTGGTTATACATGATTTAAAACCGTAATATTTACGATTTTCGTCAAAATGTAATGTTAAAATTCTTGTTCTGTGTAACAATTTTATCCATGTAGTACCTACCGCATAAATATTACGTAAAGAACTCAAACAAAATTAAAATGTTTATAAATAGTTCAATAATAATTTGACTACGTCTATATAAGACAAATATAACGTTTCTATCTAAATTTCAAGTCTCTACGAAAATTCTCAAGTGAATTACAACAAAATTGAAAATAATAAAGGCATTATTTTCGTATCCCGTTTTTCCCAGTTATTATGAAAACCGCTAAAAATAATAAAAAAAATGACCTTCACAAAAGTATCATCCTACAAAATTTTCCTTTCAAAAAAGATGCTTCAGTTAAAAATTAGATCAAAATTTCTAGTAGAAAAGTTGTTTACAGGAGAAAAAAAAATAAACATCATTGTACTCGTAAAACCAATTTATTACTTGCTCCCTCCGCTCAGAATCTAAAACACAAATCATAGTAAAAACAAAAATCCCTTCTTACACTTCGAATCTAAAATGTGTAGACGGTACCATCATTATATATAATTCTAAAATATTTTCTGTTGAAGTTGTGTATATATAAATACGGACAAACTTAGAAAAGTGAATTTCAAGAATGCTCGATCGAATACCTAGTGGTGAGAATCATTGTCTTTAAAAAAAATGTAAACAATTTTTAGATTCTGAGAGAAGCAAGAGTATTGTATATACGTATTGCCTTTACCACGATGTTTTTTTTTGTCTGTAAAAAAAATTTCTATTAAAAATCTCGTTCTTATCAAAACCTTTTTAAAAATTTTCTCATACCATTTTTATCTATTTAGTGCTTTAGAAGGTTACTGTTTGGTTTTTCTTGTAGTTTTCTTAATAAATGGGGAAAACTATTTTTTGTATAATTTTTGGTAGCATTTTGACAATAAACGAAAAACTGTTGCCAGTAAAACTGCTTAAAATATTTTTTCGTTAGTCAATGGTTTATCGTTGCGTACTGATAAAAATCAAATTACTCTATATATCTATCATTTCTTCCAACTTCCCTCTTAAAACAGTAACACACCCGTTAGCAGTATCAGCCTTTTTTATTTATTTGTTTATGTAATTCCGATTTTATCTTATATGACTATTATTAGACCGTTTTATGTCTTATTATTAGTAGTAGTAGGTATATTATTATTATACTGTAGCGTATATATACGGTGACAGGGAGGAAAACTATGTGTCTCTCGCATGTTGTCATCCGTACTTAGCAGAAAAATATGGGTTCGGCACGTCCTTGGTACAATAATAATAATAATACTCGTATAATATTTAATATATACATTATACATAGCTCATAATAATATTTTTATATACCGCTGCAGCGCACAATATATAACGGTATTGAATGGGATGGTCCAAAAGACATGTCCGGCCATGGATGCCCATTAATGGACAACGGTGGCGTGTAATAATAATATATTTGTTCTATTCGATTTTTTTTGTTATTTTTCTCTATAATAAACCGGCTAAACTTTGAATATTGCAACCTACACCCGATTATTGGCGTTGTAGCAGCATATATCCAATCCTCTTAAAAAAAGAGTTGATACTGCTACGTACCACAACTATTGTAGATGGGAAGTTAGGGAAGTACAGGTAACACAAAGGACGTGTATTGTCATAGATAATAATATCACGTATGAAATTTATAACGTATACATATGAATAAAACTTGTTTATTTTTTTTTCGGTGGACAACTTTTCTACCTAAAGGCTTACTTCGATTTTCACGTGTAGCAACTTTTCGTAAATGAAATCGATGTGGGGAGGTACATTAGATAGGCCATTTTTCGATTTTCTCAAGAATTTTCTCGTTAAATATGAAAAAATGTTAAAACCGAAGAAATCGGTACAACATTAAACAAATATTATTAATAAAAATATATAGTGCCTATTTAATTATTTTACTATAATATGGCCTATATAATATAGCATATATATTGTTGACAAAGCATCACTATCAATTGAACTCTGCTCAGAATCATTTTTTCGTTAGCTATGTTTTACGTTAAATATGGTTTATACATTAAATTCCCGTGTGTAGCCTACCTTTACAACTTCCCACCTACACCAGTGGCTCCAGTGGTGTACGCAAGGGGGGCTAAAGGGCTGAAGTCCTCCCTCATTGACTGTATTTATATATATATTTATATATTTATACATACATATTTGTTTATATTTTTCAAGTTTCAACTTTAACAATAGCAAATAAAGATGTTTTTCATAAAATACGCTATATATGTAAGTAAATAATTTAATTTAACACCGCTATCTATTAATAACCTTACTATACGACTCTATCATCGCAAAATAAAATTTTATTAGATTTATAAGATTATTATTTTTTATGTGGTCACAGTCGTTATAAAGCATAAACAATGGTTTTGTTATTATTACAATTTTGGTGGTTGGTGTTACCATGCATACACGGGCTTCCACACAACCTTAGATAACAACCTTAGAACAACCTTTAATTAGTGAAAAACAATAAGGTAGATAGGTAGATAAGTTTGTTTTCACTTATTTCTCTTTAGTATCAAAGTAATAATATTTTGTATAGGTTTTTCGTGTTAAACGTATCTCATTGACTTTTGGCCGTTTTAATCCTCTACTAGCTAACAATTATATTTGACTGCCCTAAATTCTATTCGAAATTATGAGAAAAGCCTAGTTCTTTAGGTTAGACAAGATTGAAAGATTCAAATTAAGGTTTTCATTGGCAACCGTTTTTATTTATTTTTCGTTATTATTAAGTTTTTATTGTTTTAACTTTTTTTAAACAATCATTGTTGTTATGGAAACGCATATTGTAATCATTTTAACATAATATGACATATGTATTGTTGACAAAGCAGCACTGTCAACCGAATCGCTCAGAATCGTTTTTTCGGTAACAATGGTTTATCGTTGCTTACAGATATACATCAAATTCCCATTTAAATCCTACCTTCCCAACTTCCCACCTACAACAATGGCCACGTGCGAAGTATATCTGTCTTTTTTTAAAATTTGTTTGTGTACCTTTATTTTATGTTTATTATCAGGCAGACGTGAGAATGCACCTAATTTATTTTTCAAACTTGTGACAAAACAACTGATTAATTATCAATTTTTCGAGCTCCCCCCATTGAAAAATCCTGCGTACGCCATTGAGTGGTTCCACCCGTCCCCATTATCTTAACTTTTTTTTTTGATATCCAATTTAAATGCGATCAAAAGATTTTTTTTCTCATACAATTTTTTTTTAAATTTATAACGTATATTTTTAGATTCTGAGTGTATTCGTTTTACAATGATGTCTATTTCTTTTTTTCTGTGAACAATTTATCATAAATTTGGTTCGATTTTAACTTTTTCTGAAAGGAAATTCGACTCAGATAGATTTTTTGATTTGCCTAGGGGTTTTTATAGTAATTTGGAAAACTGAAAAATTTACGAAGTATTATTTTTAAATCGTAAATATTACAGACTTTCAAAACATGTACAACTGAACCCCGTTCAGAATCGTTTTTCGTTAGGTTAGGTTAGGCTAGTAATCATTGTACACAGATATACATTAAATTTTCTCTCTACCTTCCCAACTTCTCGCTTATAACAGTAGCCCACTCATCGTGCGAAGTATTTCCGTCTGTTTTTTTGAAATTAAATTAGTAAAAATAAAATATATATGAATAATTTAGAATTAATTAATGTACTTGTAATTTTCAATTATATTGTTCTAACTATCAATTATAAAAGAGAGCATATGTACCAAGTAAACTGAAAACTTAACTAAATTATAATTTATATTAGGTAGATAACATTAAAATAAATTAATAACCGGTTTTTAATAATTTATAGTACTATGCGTTTAATACGTATATGTTTATTATACGTTACAAGTATACAATTCTGTTTAAAAATATGATTGCTAACGAAAAATAATTTTAATCACGAAGTTTGGTTAAACTGCATGTTTTGAAATGATTTTTACGTTTTTCGTCAAAATTTATACTTTTTAATAAAAACAACACTAATATAACGCTCGACTTTTTTTTTAAAACCCCTATGTACACCTTAAGATAAACCCCAATCATATATATTAGATTTTTTCAAGCACTTCTGTCCGGACAAACTTGTTTATTCGCATACAATTTAAAAAAGCTCGAAAATGTAAAATGCCTATAAAAAACTTAAAACTCATTGAAATTTTGGTTTTGAAAGTGCTAATGTTAGTTTTGTGTAGAAATTTTTAACTCTACGATCGTTTTAAATAAATTAGGTGTAACAAAAAAAAAAAACAAAATTGATAATAATGAAACTGTTAGTGCCGTTTCCCGTTTTTGCTAGGTTTTTTCCCCAGTTTTTCTCAATTTGTAATAAAACTGTTGGATAATCCAAAAAATGAGCTCTTTACATTAACTAGATCTAAAATTATACAAAAAAGCTTTTGTAATTTTTTGATTGGAGCAAGATTTCTGGTAAAGTTTGTTTTTATATAGGCAGAAAAAATAGCACATATTTTCATAGTAAAACCAATACATTCCTTACACCATTTTGCAGATTATTCACGTGTATAATATTATATAATTCGAATTCGGTATTATTACATTCCACGTAGAGTTAATGATTTTTAGGGAAAATATATGTATATAAAAAAACGGTGATTTGTATTTCATCTTTGTTATTATTATTATTAAAAATGTAATGGTTAGTGTATATAATAAATAGCATCGCGGGTGGAATAATATGGCATTTCCAAAATGAGTAATCCCACACTATTAAATTTCCATATATACTACTGTGGTGTATACATTATTTTTTCGTCATTTTAAATCGTCGTCCACGCTGCACACATAAACACATTTTTTTTTGTGTATATGTATAAGAAATGTTAAAGATCATAAACGTGCCAGAGAAAACACGAGAGGACCATATGGTCGGGTTCTTTTTTAGGATCGTGACAACGCTGAATATGGCTAACGTGCAATAGCAATGGCGCCCTCGCAGTCTCCGCCGCCGCTTCGTGTCCTTAATAATAATGAATATGTTTATTTTTTTTTTCTGTTCAAAATCGTTTTTTCTACCTGTTTCATATAGTGACTCTCGCCGTTTGTTATAGTAAATAATATTTATAACAGTTTTAAAATAACAAAAAATATATATAATATATTATTATTAATAATAAACGATGGTGACAAATGTGTGCAGTGATGTTTGCGTGTGAAACTTCATGACGTTGTCGTGCACACGACATTTGCGAGAATTTTTTGAGAAAGAGAGAGTGAGAGTGAGTCGGAGAGAGGTTCTTTAATCCTTTTTTGGCATTGGTGGCATTATATTCGGGTTTGGCAAAAAGCAGTTCATTAGTACTGCGATTATTATGTGGTAGTTGATTTTTTTTCCGTCACCGCCGCAAACCATTGTTGTGATTTGTGTGGTGGTGATGCCCATATTATAATAATATCTTCAAGTCGTTTTGCATGTATATTATTATAATATTATGCACGTCTAGACTATCAATCCTTAACTGGCCATAAAATTAATCGCCCAACATTATTGTTCTCTCGCGTGAATTATTACGATATATATATATATTTTTTTTTTTCTGAAAACTAATTTTACCACGTTTTTTTGGGTTGTGAACGCGTCTCTATTAATTTTTATACTGTATTGTAATTTATGTCGTTTTCATACCGAATATTGTATTCAACTCGAATCGCAGTTTAGATTATAATGATATTAAATTAGTTTTACATGATGTACTTTTTTATGTCTATAAACTATTTTCCAACAGAAATCTTGCTCTAGTCAAAAACTTATAAGAGTTTTTTTGTAGCATTTTTGATCTAGTTAGTGCATCGTTTTGTGATTTTCCTCGTAGTTTTCTTTATAAACAGAGAAAACTGAAAATTATTTGTATAATTTTTGTTGGATTACCTGGATTACCTTGACAACAAAAGAAAAATAATAATGTACTCTACTCAGAATCGTTTTTAATTAGTAATAGTTCATCGTTAGGTACAGATGTAAATTCAATTATTATATATATTCTCCCTTCTAACTAGCCACCTAAAACAATTGTAAACCCATCTTGCAGCTCTTTTTGATATTATACGTTACGTATATAGAATGATTTTTTATCATGAACCAGCAATTATCTCGGAGGATTTAAACGAATTTGATTTCTGTTTCTTTTAATCCTTGTGAAACCGTTTAAGCTTTATTTTAATACTATTTTTAATTATTACTCCTACTCCATATACATTAAATAAGTAAGTACTTTTGTTTTTCAAATAGGAATCCCCCCCTTTCGAACACAGATTCGGATAACAAATATTTTTTTAAAAATATTAGTATAGATAACACTAATATCAGATAAACTATTTCTGAGTTATAACTGTTTAAAGTTTCTACTGGAGGAGTTGGGAAGAGTTATGAATTTATCATTTAAAAAAATATATACAATTTATTACCTTTTCCTACTTCTCTGGTCTAAACATTAAACTATTAAAACGAATAAACGATAAATATGATATTCGTATACCTAATGCAAATCAAAATTTCTTGAAAAATATTCTCTATTCGAATCTATGTTCAAAAAGGAGGGTTCTATTTGAAAAATCAAAATAAGCATATATTTATTTAAGGTAAATAGAGTAGGGTGAAAATTAAAAACTGTTTCAAAATAAAACTTAACCGATTCCATTATGATTATATATATATAAAAAAAAAAAAAAAATTCACTTAAAATCCTCTGAGAAAATTGCTGGTTTATGATAAAAAAAAAAATACTCTGTATACTGGTAATTAGTATACTGCAACTGCATTATGATTTTCGTATAAAATCAATTCTCGAGAAATTACAAGTCAATCATTTCTCTATCGTATTATAATATGTTTTATCTGGCTGAAACCATTTTTTTTTTGTCATGAACAACAATAATTTAAATAACTGCAATGTTTTAATTAGTATAAAATGTAATATATAGAGTTATATTATATAATATTATGTTGTGTTGAAATTAATCTTATCGCGATTTGAGCAGTGTATTTTATTTTACGGAATATTGTATCACAATAACTTACACATCATAATGATTTTTCATGTACATAAATTAGACTTTTTTTATTGAATTGTATATATGTACTTAAAATATTATGTCTTCTTTAGAATAGGAATTTAGATGAAACACTGATAAAATTAAGAAGTTTCATTATTAATATTATTTTAAGTTTAATTAAATATTAATAGCATTTCTAGATTAGGTATATTATTTCATTTGAGCCTTTTTTTTATGTATATAATAAATATAGGTACTGTGGTATAGGTCAACATCGGTAAAAAAAACATGAACGTATATTATCATCGTTTTATCTAATCTAATAAATTTGTCATATATCTTTGTAAAAAGCAACTGCATATTATGCAGCTTAGGTACTAGCTTTTACTATAATACTATAGCGAGTTTTCGTGCCAAACGAATAGAAAACAATAAGTACCTATATAGGGGGGATATGCAATACGGATTTCAATTATTACTTTATATATTATGTATAGAAATCGACAAATTGTATGTATTAAATATTGCAAAAAAAAAAAAAATTGAATGTATTTAAACAGTAATAGTACACGTGATCTGTATTCATAATTTTCTGGAAAATTTTAAAAACGACGTTGTCTAATAAATTTTCATTTCTGTTTCGACCTTAAACAAAAGTATAAGTGTAGGAGTAATATAAAGGAGTGCCTCCCGACACGGTTAGTTGTTGTCATTGCAATAGTGCGGATGACATATTATTATTATCATCATCCGCGCAGTGATGTAATGAAAAAAAAAAGGACAACCCGATGTTTAAATAATAATTGTTAATGAACCGTTGTATTACTCGGGCAAAACAAAATTGACACTTTATTATTATTATTTTTTTACTGCCGGTCGTTGTATTATTATTATTATATAAAGTTCTAACAGGGGCAACTGGACGTTTTTTTATAAGTCGTAAACGCAGCGTGTTTCAATATTATATTTAAATTATGTGATGCGGTATGTGTATATGTGTTCAGTCGATTATTTAAGCCACGAAAAGCCACTCTACTATAATATTTTACTATTTAGTATTTTATAATCGTATATAGTAACACACTATTGTAAATAGCATATTATTATATTACACTGTTATGTGTGTCAAACTGTTGACGGTTGCGAATCCGATGAGCGTAGCGTATTATAAGTATAGGTATAATGTTAAATACCTAACACGTATCTGCTGAAATTGTACCTATTTAGATAATATATATGACGATTAAGGACCGGATTTCTATGCAAAGTGTACCTATATTTTTTTTAGTGATCTAAAGCAATGTTTTCCATGTAACGGATACTTCAAAAGCTAAACTATTATTTTGGATTTATAGGCCATTTAAAGGTATCAAAACATTTTATGAAATTTGCTTTAATAGACTAATATGGTTTAATGCATTTGCATCAGTTAATGATTTTATTTACTATTTTTCCATTTTCACAATATTTTTGGATATTTTTCAAAACATTTGTCATTAGTTTTTAAGGAATTAAAATCTAGCTTTAATAATGATGATTAAAATAAATGATAGATCAAGTTTTTCAAGTAAACGCCTAATAATCGGTTCACAAATGTTCCTATTATTAATTTTGTCGATTCGCCGTTCACATTTCCCATTTTTGAAATTCCAAAAGTAACTTAGTTTTACTAAGATGTGTTTTTTTCTTGGAAAACTGTATTCATTCTTTTCGGCCAGAAAAGTGTTCCGAATTGTTTACATACATCTAACCTAACGATTCATTGTTGCTTTCAGTGTATAAACTAAATTATTAGGTACCTACCCTATATCTTATAAACCCAATAAACTTCCTCCCATCTATAACAGTGGCCTCTACCAATGCTGCCAAGTATGGCCGGCTTTCTTATTTACGATTATTTGTAGGCAATATATATGTTAGAGTGTCTCTTAATTTTCAATTGCAAAATATTTTTGAAAAAATTTTATTTTATTATTTTTAAAAAATTTAAAAATAGCCATTTTATAGAGTTTAATATTCTTCTGAAAAAAGTATTAACTTTTTATTTTTATTAAATTTGTGATTTTTTAATAATTTTTGAAAGATCAGAGAAAATGATTTAAATAATTATACAGCAAGCCATAATGACATTAGTTGATTGATTATTATTATTATTATGGCTAATTAACTGTACACTTTTCTACTGTCAACATTTTCAGAAGAATATTAAACTCTATAAAATGGCTATTTTCAAATTTTTCGAGAATAATAAAATAAAATAATTTTTTTTTAGTTTTTTACCAAAACGTAAAATTTTAACTCAAGTAAAAATATATTTAATCCTTATCCCTGTGAGTAATATAAAAATAAAGATACGGACGTATTTTGCACGATGGGTGGGTCACTGTTATAGGTGAAAATTTGGGGAGTTGGGATATAGAAAGGAATTTAATGTATATCTGTACGCAACTATTAATCATTTTAACGGAAAACGATTCTGAACGGAGTTCGGTTATACATAATTCGTATTATTTACGATTCTAAAATAATACATTTTGTAAATTTTCCCGTTTTTCCTACGTTTTTTACCGGTTTTCTTCATTTATGAAAACCCCCGAGAAAATAAAAAAATGTACCATTCCAGTCAGATTTACTTTCAGGAAAAGTGCTACAATTGAAAATCGAAGCAACATTTCTAATACAAAAGTTCACGGATGAAAAAAAAAAAAATAATAAACAACATTGTAAAACCAATTCATTCCTCGTTCCACTCAGAATCTAAAACAAAATTTGATTACCTTTATTATCACAGGAGATATTGTAATGGTGAATGGGTAAATCTTCGTGGGACATCCAGTATGTACATATATAGTTATATGTATTATATATAAAAAAAGACAATATTTTTGGTACATTACTGAACAACTTTCGATCTGCTTAAAATAATGTAATCAACATCAATTCGTCCTCCAAATCCCTGGCTATATTTAAGAAATTAATGCCTGCATACATCTTATATAAATATTATGCAAAAAAAAACCGTTTAAAATAATTTGGATTGGATGAAAATATTATTATTGTCTTTTTATTTCATTTTTTCATAACAACATGGTACCCAGTTTTTGTTTTAAATTTGTCAAATATTAAGATGGATGATTTTTAATAATTAGTTACAAATTTATAATTGAATTAATAATATTTTTCCTAAAATATTTTTATTGAACCAATAACTTAATATTATTATTTTTTTAGTTTAATTTTGTTGGAAGAATATTGGGGCCACGAGGTATGACGGCAAAACAATTGGAATTAGAAACCGGATGTAAGATTATGGTTCGAGGAAAGGGCTCAATGCGTGATAAGAAAAAGGTATGTACGAACATAATTAAATATTTGTTTTGACAATATTGTCTATTTTTATTTTGTCTAACACTATATGCGTAATATCATTTATTTGCTAACACATTACTGGGAACTATTGATACAGAATCGTAAGTAAATGTTCAAAAACGCTAATTTCATAATTTTATGAACTAATTAAATAAAAAATGTTTCAAGGAGGAGCAAAACAGAGGTAAACCTAATTGGGAACATTTAAGCGAGGAGCTTCATGTTTTGATATCCGTAGAAGACACTGAAAACCGAGCTAAGCTCAAGTTAAAAAGAGCAATCGACGAAGTGAAAAGGCTTCTTGTACCCGTTAGTTGAAATCACTTAAATGATTGTCTATATATTAAATTGAATTAAAATAATTTTAATTTTGTAATATTATAAATTTAGGCTGATGGTGAAGATGAATTGAAAAAACGCCAATTGATGGAACTTGCTATCATCAATGGAACATATAGGGACTCCAATGCCAAAGCCTTAGCTGCAGCAGGTATTATTATTATTATTTATATATACTTTTTAAAGTGTTTCAGGATTTTTGTTTATCAGATGTTCTTCATCCTGTGATATTATGTTCATTATTAAAGCTTAATAATGTTGGCCATTTAATTTACAACACTAATAAACTGTACAATTATTATCCAATACTGATGGGACTTCTGACTAATTACCTACTGATTAAAATGTATATATTAATACATTTTGTGTTTTTATTTTCAGCTTGTGATGAAGAATGGCGAAGAATGGCTGTAGCAGCAGCTGCTGAAACACAACGTCTTTTGTCCCCACATGGCATGGGTGGATTGGCCACAACATTGAGACCGCAGACCGCCACGCCATTAGCTGCTCCGCTTATATTATCTCCACGTATACCGACTGCCATTACTACGACTGCTGGAAATCCTGGTGCACCTCAGCTATTATCTCCTGCCGAACATCATCATCATGCTGCAGCAGCAGCTGCTGCTGCTGGTCTTATATATACGCCATATGCCGATTATGCCAACTATGCATTAGCCGGTTCGCCATTGATTACAGAATACACTCCTGCCGATCACTCGGGTGCGTTGTTGTTTGTTTGTTAAAAAAAAGTTAAATATATCTATATATTGTATGTATGTATGTATGTATGTATATATATAGATACATACAATTATATGCATGCAATATATAGATTTATTATATATTATATATGTATATGATATGTATATGATTGAATGCGCTTGGGTCACTTAAAAAAAAAAATGTTATACAGATTTAAAATAATTTAATATTACAGTTCAAGACTCCCTATTTAAAAATACCACTAAATAATTATACACTTTAAATAAGACTGAAAAAAAAACAAAACAAAACAATATATAAACTTAATCAGTATTTTTTTCTATTTTTCAAAGCAAACTTTTCTTGAGATATTTTTTTAAATTTTAATTTATTTTTATTATTATATTAAAAGAATGTTCGGCCAGATACATGCTAATGGTTCCAGAACTACAAGGGCTCACCTACCGTCACTGGCCAAATCAACGTTAGTACCATCCTTAGTATTTGGCCATCCAACCCTTCTTTTTTTTTATGTTTGAGAGGTGCTATCTTGTTTATTATTTGTGTATAATTTTAGGAATTAATTTTATTTCAGTATTCCTTATTATTATTTTTTTTTATTATTACTATTACTTATATTCTTATTATTATTTTATTTTGTTTATTTATTTTATTATTATTATTATTATTATTATTATTATTATTATTATTATTATCATTATTATTATTATTATTTTATTTGATTCCTTAATTTTTTGCGCGCTCTTTAATTGGTTATACTACACAAAGCTTTAATTTTTTAGTAATAATTTATAGATAATATTTTAGTTAATATTTATATATACATATTATATCCCTTCTTTACCTCTGTTTCTTTTGCGTTTAGTTAGTTCAAATATTAGTCTAACTCGACTAAAATTAATTTAAAAAAAAAAAAAAAAAACTAGGTGTGTACTAATGAATTTTAATACAGTAATCAAACATTTTTTCTAATAATACTCCTCAAGTACCTACTTTCCATTGAATAAAAAAAACAATTACTTAGAATTTTAAATCTAACTGGTGAAACAATTTTTAAACAGTTAAATTAAATTATTTAAACCAATTCCTATTATTTTTATTGTAATTTGCATTGGTTCATTAACTGGTTTATTCAAAAATATCTCTTATAAATCTTTTTAGTCAATATTTTTTCAACTAACTGGGACAAATATTTACAATATATTTTTTTTTTTTTTATAGAAATATGTAAACCAAGGTGTGATTCTAACATTATTTAATACTAAAGTTTTAACAAATATAAAACAAAATATTAAACATATTAGGACCCGAATTAACAAAATACTTGAGGGACCAAGAAGAACCACAATTCAGGTTTTTTACTCATAAGAAGATTATAATAAACTTCTGACACCTAAAGTTCCTTAATTTTATAAGAATGAATACCATGACAAGCACTTTTTAATATTTTAATTATGTTGTTTATATTATATATTTATTATAATATTATTATGAAAAAATACTCAGGCTGATTATATAATTAATGTTACGTATATATTTTTTATGATTGTTTAGTACACATCTATGTTTAGAATTTGTTATAGACATACTTGTATACACATAATATATTTTATATATGAATATGTATGTATACACATGTATACACATTTAAGTTTTAATTACTATTATTTTTGTACAATTTTGTAGGGGGTCAACATTTTAGAATGGAACTTGTCTCCAACAATGTTTAAAAAAATGCATTACACAATTTTAATTTGCAATAAATAAATAGAAGTAATATGTTTATAGCAGGTGCAGCAGCCGCAGTTGCGGCGGCGGCTCAGGTCGCCAAACAAAGAAGGCATTTGACTCAGATCAGGGATCATCCGTATCAGAGGGTTGGCACTTCGATTGTCAATTAAAAAAAAAAAAAAACAATATTAAAAAAAAAAAAAGTTCTTTGAATCTGAAAGGTCAGTTGCTATTCGTTTTTAATTTAGGGTTAAAGATCATAGTTAATAGGGTTTAATTTGGCGCGTATATACATTTTTATGACCTATTTATTTTTTTCAAAAACTCAATGACCTCCCCCCACGCGCAATTATTTTTATTTATGCTTTTTTATTTAGGCCTTTTTTCGGTTGTGATATTTTTATTATTATTATTACCTATTTATCAAAAAATATGTATTTATGAAGTATATTTTATTTTATACGCATACTTACATAAAATACATAAATATATTTATATCATTTGATTTTTCATAAGATTTTACATCTATATTTGCTTGATATCGTAATGTTATTGTTATGTAGGCGTAGGAGCTACCTATGTATTAATTTGTAGATATAACATAATTTAAGTATATTTTTCACGTATTGTGTTCTAATATTGTATTTAACAGCTAAACCGAAGACTTGTATATTGGTGAAGGTAGACATGTATACAAATTATCTATGATTATTACAAAACATCCCTATTTTTTTTTTGCACTTTAATATTTAAATTTTGAATGCATATATTCAAATAGTAGAATGAAAAACTTATATTTCTCTTTCCATAATAACAGTATTATTACATGGAATTTTTTTTTTATCTTATTTAATAATATACATTATATTATATTGTAACGCTTTTCACACACGGTAGTAAAATATTATACTAATAACTATTCAAATACACTTGGCAGAACACTTATGTTTGTCACTGGCGTACTTACACTAATACAATAATAGAACATAATACTTTTAGCTGCTATTTTTTTTTTTTAAAATATTTCATTACTAACATGTTTTTTTATTATTTTTTATTTAACCTCAAAAAAAGGCTTGCGGAGATCTAACATACTGGACCTTTATTTTAACACCACACAATGCAGCCTGCGGCCGAAGTGCGACGATTGCCAGACGGAACTATAATTAACAACTAAACAATTCATTCTGCGCACACATACACACTTAAAAAAAACTCAATGTTGCACTTGAAATTATTTGTCTAACCATTATCTGTCTGTCTAATCATTTTCATATAATAATATTTGTTTTATTTATATTATTATAGTGTTTAATATTGTTTCATAATATTACAATTTAAAGACTAGATGGTTTTTTTTTTTTTTTTTTTTTTTTTTTAATACAATATGTTGAGTCATATGCCTTTAAAAATATATATGTATATATTATATTTGTTTATTTCGGCATCCATATCGACATTTGTTACACCTTTGTCGTCACTAGTCTTAGAATTCTTATTTGTTTATTTTTCTGAATATTGAACTGTGTTATGATCTAATAACACAAAGTATACGACAATTTAAAAAATATATTTAATATAATTTTGAACAAACTTTTTTTTACAACTCTACTTATCAAATTTGCTTAGTTTAAAAATATATAAAATTAGAAAATTAAAGAATAATATAGATTTGTTTTATGTTATTATTTATAAGGCTTATTTTATGTAGCGTGCAATAAAATGTTTAGTTTTTTTTTTTCTAGAAAAATTTGTCTGATTTAATATTTTTGTAGAGAAAATTGTTGTCAGTATTAAATTAAAATATATTTAATATTATCATATTATGCCAGGTGCCAAAACCGACCTATGCCAGTTTGTTCTGTATTTTTTGTTTTAAAATTGTATTACATAAAATTATTTTAGAACATAATCACGATTATAATTTATTTATGAGTGATATTTATACATATAGATTTATAAATATAATAATATAGCTATATTATATAAAAGCATATAAATTTAAAAAAAAATTATATATTTTAAGTTTTTATAATATTTTTATAAGTACTTAAGTGCCTAAATGATTTAGACAATCTCTCGAATAGGCTAAATATACTTTATTATAATTATAATTATGATTTTTTTTTTTTTTTTTTGTTATTTACGAATCTCAACGTCAAAATAGTCGTTTTTGTTTTTTTTCTTGTTATCTTAGACGTTTTTAGTTAATATACATAAAATAATTATACATGTACGTATATATATTAATATATATATATATAATATTTATGCGTGTATACATACATATATATATTTATATAATATGTGTGTGTGTGTGTGTGTGTGTGTGTGTGTGTGTATTTATATGTATACATATATGAATTATATGTGTAGTTTTAGTAAGAAACAAAAATATATATATATATAAATATTTAGTGAAATATATAGTGAGCACTGTACTGCCTCCCCAAAACAATCAATTACAGCAGTTTGATGTATTTCAGGCTTATGTGCCATAAGATAAAACTAATTTTTTTTCTATACATTTTAAGAGATTAACTGTTATCACCGAATACGTTTTATTTTATATTATTTTATTATCATCTAAAATGTACATTTTAAAGTTTATGAAAAACAAAATGCATACCTACCCATATATTATATATAATAAAATTATATATATATTTTATTCGTTTAACGAAGTACATTTTATTTTTATTTATACAGATATATATTTATATATTTTATGTATGTTATATAGAAATATTATATTGTATATTTCTATATAAATATTTTAATCAAATTTATTGATGTTGCATATGTAAGGTTTTTCAAATTTTTATGAAATGTATTATTTTATAATTGGAAATGTTTTTAAGAGACAACATAAATAAAAAAAAAGCATGTAGAACAAAATATAGGATTTTTTTTTTCAATTATTATATTTTCTCTTGATCATATCACCAAATAACCAAGGTCATTCGAGTAGTCATATTGTAGTACTGGATCGCATTATATAAAGTGTATAACCTATTATTAAAAAAACAAAACCTTTTTAAATTATTTTAGATTTTATAAAAAAATTATTTTAAGTATTTTGAGACCCAAATTTAAATCAGAAATAAAACTAATTGAATTGATTAGTTTTTAATCTGAAAGAAAATTTTTCTGCTTGATATTTATTTTAAGAAAGCCACCTTTTGATTTTTGTATAGTTTTCTTAATTATTGGTAAAAACAGGAAAGTTAATGCCATTGCCAGATTCATCATTTTAGATTCAAGATTTTGAACGGATGAAAAATGTATTGTTTTTAACATAATTTTTTTAACCAGGAAATTTACTCCAATCAAAAAATACAAAGAGACCTTTTTGTTACATTTTGAATATAGTTGGTACAAAATAGAGATTTTTTGATTTTCTAAAGGATTTTTATAATAATTGGGGAAAAAAATAAATATTTATTGCGAACTGCAGCATTACTGATTTCATTATTTTATAGTTTTACAATTTATGTTTTCTATAAGAAATCTTGCTTCAATCAAAATATTACAAAAAGATTTTTTGTTGTATTTTGTATCTAGTTAGTAAATAATAATAATTTCAGTTTTCTTAATAATTAGGCCAAACCAGTAAAAACATATTAAGAACTTAAAATTTTACCAAAATAACGATTTCATTTTTTTAAATTATTTATACTTGCTTTTTCTAGACATGGTCAGATTTTCATAACATTCCAAGCTATTTACAGGCATTGACCTTTTAAATTTTTATTTGGTTGATTCAATGTGGATAAAATTGTTAGACTGAACAGAAATACTTGAACAGCCCCAGATTTAAGGGGGCATCACCCCCCCCTTCCCACTAGCAATTGGTTTATTTTGAACCGGCAAATCTAACGTAAATCATTGTAACTCGATTTTAGGCACCTGTTAATTATTACTTCAACTAGGTTAGGTTATTCAAATAAAAAATCCATTATTTAATAATTATAGGGACATCATCATGAATCCATAAAATAAATTAAAAATCATTAAGAATGACTCACTAAAATGCGTGCTGATTGTAAAATAATTTTAAAGTGTCATGAGAAAATATTTGTTCTAAATATGAGTTGGGAAAGAACATAGAAGTGATCCTTCCTGGATATACCAAATATAAAATTAGTGAGTATGGCAGAGTTTTAACAGAACTAGTTATTTTAGTAAGATATTTTAGTAGATATTTTACGTCACCATTGTGATAATACAAATATTGACACAAAATTAGTAAATATATTAAAACGTTATGAAAAACTAAAACGTATTTTGCCAACAGCAAATAAAATAATAGACAAGTTAAATTTTACAACTGCAGTAAGTAGATACTGAATCAAATGAATAAGCATTTAGTACATAAAGTACACTATGAACTTTTTACATTGAACAACGAACAAATATAGGATAAACAATCTTATGTCATTAAACTGCAATACAAATTTAACGGATGAAACTTACATAACAATTAGAAAAAAAAAAAATTGCTGATATTGGGGATGGTAGCGACCACTATTGTAGAGGTAAGACAATATAAGTATTATGACCTAGTATCAAGTCTCTACGTATAATTTTTATAACTGAATTACAGTAAAAAAATTCCTAATAATTAAAATTCCTTAAAAACTCAAAAGTTTTGGCAATGATACCGTAGAAAGTAAATAAAAAGGCAACAAAAAATGTATCTTGTGATTTTTCGATTAAATCATTTTTCCTGATAGAAAACGTCGTCTGTGTTTTTATAAAATAATGAAATCGTGAAATTGTACGTTTTCCTACGTTTTTTCCCACTTAAGTGCTTTTATTTAAAAAATGATGTCAAAAATCAAAAAATTACCTCTCTAAAGAGGAGACCATGTAGAAAAGTTGCAAGAAATTTGTTCAGGCTATAATATCGTCTCTTTAAGTGGTGACATTGGGTGGCCACCGCGTTCACTTGAATTGAGCCCATGTAATTTTTTTCCTCTGGGGCTATCTCAAAGGTCAAGTGTACTATCATCGTCCCCACACTGTGGAAGTTATAAAGGAGGTAATAACCCAGGAAGTTGCTGGTAATTTACCCAAGAAAAATGAAACAAAAGTTGTACGGATTAAAAAACTTGGAAAAAAATAATTACAGGTGACGGATTAGGTAACTAATCTGAAAACAGGAAAAGATACATAAAAAAACTCAACATACAGTGTGTTCTCTTCATTTTAATCATAATGAATTTTTCGAAATTGGATAATTAAAAAAATATTGGACGAAAGTAATTTATGAAACATTATATGAAAAGTAATTTTAAAAAAATACCTTTTTCATTATTTCGTTACATCATAATTAGTGTATTATCAAAATATGAGTTCCACATCGGTCTATTCAGGAAACCGCTACCCATAGAAAAAACAGCGCTACCTGGTGTTATTTTGTTCTCCCAATAGAAAATAAAATAACAACCGTATATTGATGTGTCAACAGGGAATTAAAAATAAATTACTTATTATATAACATTTATGTACCTAATAAACAGGAAATATAATTTTCCTTTCGTAAGTACCTATTTAATTATACAATGTTTATATATTTTTGAACTAATAAAATGTTGATAGTTAAAGGATCCATTAAAGTGGTGATAGCAATGATAGGATTGAAACAATTTCTTTGGATTGATGTATCTTTTAATATTTCACCATGTTTGCTGGTTGCCATAACAATTTTTCATTTATTAGTTCAAATTGTATAATTAAATGTTAACAGATACTAAGGGCAAATTATATTTCCAGTTTATTAGGTACATATTTATTAAGTAATTTATTTTTAATTCCCTGTAAACGCATCAAAATACGGTTGTTATTCTGTTTTTTATGGTTATATCATAACATGTTTGTAAAAATATTAAAGAAAATTAAATTTGATAAAAATTGCACCAAAAGTTTTAAACTTATAAAAACAAAAGTACCTATATTATTAAGTAATTAAACTTAAATGATACCTTACTCATACTATTCAAAATGTAAGTCATTGTGTTCATTATTTAAAATGTTTACTTATAGAATAAAAACTAAAAAGTTGTATGTTGTTTTATGTCTTATAATCGTGCCAAAGGACTAATTAAAAAAAATAATAATATCTATAAACAATATTAATAAATGTTATAATTAATTAAAATGAGATATTAAAATTAACAATACACTTGTAGATCATCATACGTCGTTGATAGATGGCAGTACTAGTATATTAGAGTTCCATGTCCGGTCAATAAAAACACGGGTGATACAGGTTAACCTAATCGAGTAGGGCTGGTTGTTATCATGATAAAATTTAGTTATGCTTATGAATTGTGATTATTTTTATAATCTCTTTAGTCCTTGGTTAAATCATAAATATTAAAGATTATTATTAAATACAAATAATATCCACAGATCTACTAAAACAATATATTTTTCACCTTTAATAACTTCATAAATAATATTAACTATTTCTGTGTAAAAAAAATGTATCATACTTTTTGATTATATACCTATATTACAAAGATTATTTGAATTACTTAGCATCAAGATCACATCATTACTGGAATGATTTAAATTCTTAAATAGTTATATTATTATTCAATCAAAATGGTGAGTGATAAAAGTAACATTAAGTAATAACCATTAAACATTTAATAAGAATAATTAAATGATTTATTTTGAATGTTAATTAATATATAGCTCATAAATGTATGTGATCCAATCATTAATGCCAATATAAAATTGGACGGGAATTGTATATCGAGAGAAGATTATGCTGTAGAAAATCTTATATCGTCAAATGAAAGTGTTCGAAAAAGAGGATTCCTGTGCGAAACTTTTATTCGACCACCTATAAGTTTAACAGTCTCTTTCCCATTTGTGTTTGACATTAGGTACGTGGTTATTGGTACAAGAGTTGGCGGTCAAAAGTCTTCGGGGTTTCAAGTATCATCTGGACGCAATGACAATGTACAAAAAATCTGTTCTATAATCACTGAAAAAGAATCAATAGTATTTCATGATAATAATACTGATTTATCCACCTTTGGAAATGATTATGAAATATGCTGTTTTAATATATCGGCAAGTAGATGTATCAGATCCGCTGAAAAGTTGTCAGTACGTATTTTTAAAACAGCTAATTCTATACCAGCAATTAGCAAGTTGGAAATTTGGGGGAAAATATCATTTAGTGTACCCAAAGAAATTAGACAAGCAATCATTAGCAATTGGGTAGAAAATAAAAATCCAAAGAAGGAAAAACTACAAATTACTCATGTACAATCAGTGACAGAAAAATATGCTGAGAAAAATAATATTTTTAAAATTTGTGATGACTTTTTAGATTCAATTACGTTTGAAGTGATGAATTTTCCTATGGTCTTACCCAGTGGAAAATATGTGGATATATCAACAATAGAAAAATGCAGTGAAAATGATTCCATGTATGGACGTATGCCTTGTGATCCTTTCACTGGCATTTCATATACGGAAACATTAAAACCTCTGTCAGTGCCTGAACTGAAAGGACGAATAGATTCGTTCTTATTAAAACACTCAAATAATGAATATGTAAAGAGTTTACCCCGTGTGGTGGGTAAACGTAGTTTCAGTTTTTATACTGAAAGACAAGCTAAAACTGCCAAAGTACAATGTAATACTTGCAACAATTGTTATAATAATAATATGTATTGTTTACCTTGTAAACATTATCAATGTAAAAACTGTCTGCAAACTATGATTATTGAATGCAAAATTTGTCACAAAAATTTTAATCGAAGTCAAGTTGAAAAACATCATGAAAATCAATAGGTATAAAAGGTTTTTATTACTACTTCTATTGATTTTATCATATTTATTATATAGGATGTATACAATAAACATATTATATAAGCTAAGTTAAAGGACGATTTGAAAATAATTTTCTACTGGCGGCGGTAGTATACCTTATCATAATATAGATAAGTTAACTGGTAACATCCAAATCTCACCGGCTTACACTATGACGGGTTACTCCGCCATCACCAGCAGATAAACATTTTCTAAATATTGTCACTATTGTGTACAACTTATTTATATTAACTAAAATCAATGCTACTTTCAATACATTAATACGAAAAAATCTTAGTGTTGACGAAATTTACCATCTAATGAAATATCAAGTACATAAAAACTTGATACTCACATATACTGTCTTAGTCTAACCAACTGGAAAATAACAAAAACGTCCTTGCTTAGACTATGCATAACTTACTTGGTTTTGGTCTTAGAGTAAAAATACCCATTATAAAAAAAAGAAGGCAATATTCCGAAAAGCAAAATGGTGCGTTTTTTTTTGTTTATTTTAAATATTAATTTGAATATGCTCAATTCATTGTTAAGAAAATAACATCTAATTCAACATTTTTAAATTGCTGTAACATTTCAAACAATTAATTTTAAAAGAAACACATCTCCTTGTTCCCTAGAATATTATTCTCTTTTAATTTTATAATATATGATTTTACTTTAAAACTAAAATTGAATAAGTTCTTCACATTGTCAGAAATTGTGGGTAGCTTTAAGGGTCTAAGCCAGTTCAAAACATTTAAACAGATAAATTACTAATTAGTTATTGGTAATTATTAAAAAATTTGTCCGTTTATAAGTTTTGAGTAGGCAATTTCCACTAAAGGTTCTACGCAGTTTGCGTAAAGATGATTTTGCTATATTGCCCATTAATAAGACTGAGACAGCACATGTGGATATAACATCCTCTTAAGAGGAATAATTGTGATACCTGTTGAACATTTTATAATAGTTTTATGTTTTCTTTATTATTTTACAACTATGGATTTTATAAATTTGATATAGCATAGGTGCTTGAATGTATACCATCCGTAATGTAGATGTATGAAGATCTTCTAAAACTATGATTAACATTATGAAATAATATACCATTTACATTTCAGTCTAAACAACATACTTATAATATTATAGTTAATTTTAAATTCATTGGTTTTATCCTATTAAATTTGTAAGTTTTTATTTGATGTACATTAATTAGTTAAATTTATTGTATTTTAAATATTATTTTTTTTATTTTGAGTTAATCTATTTCATACATTGACTATTATATATTTTCTAAGTTTTTATTTAATGTAGATACATTAATTTAAGTCTTTTTTTTTAATATGTTCAAAGTTTAAATCAGTGGAAATGTTAAAAAAATTTTCTAGGGATTTGAATATGGTATAATTAAAAAGAACAAAAAAAAAATGTCTACTGATGAATTTAAATTGCATTGATTTGGTTTTGAATACCTACTTAAAAGCTATATTTAATCATACACTATATAAAATACTAGCTACAGTTCATGTAAACATTGCCATGACTTATGAGGGTATTTTTTTGTTTCAAATATATTTAATTACAATTAATATGAAATATAGGATATTTGAACATATTAAATGTACAATTTAATTACTTACCTGTTGGAATATATTATTTTACGATCATGGTTATCCATAGAAATTTGTAACTGACAAAGTTAACTTGAAAATGCACAGGCCAAATTCTTTTACATCAATACATTGTTCACAAATACTGGGAGAACCTCGTCTGTTCATTCACTAATTAGTGATCAACAATGTTTATAATTATTCATTGTCCATTTATATAATTATTATATTTCATATAATGGAATGTTACATATATATTTTTAATAGTGATGTAATTTTTTTTAAAAATATTTTCGAATTTTATATATTTATCGCTATCAATATAATTTCAACGATTGCGTGTTATCACGATCGCAAGACAAACAGACTGTCAAAACACCGTTAGTTTAGGTCACAATTCAAGATTAATGATCTAAATTATGGGTTAGGTGATATAATTAATTAATTTTTGACCGTTAGTCAAAAATTTGGCCGCATGTCGTTATCAAAATCAAATGATCCGAACGGGCCATTGTCAATCTGGCTGTTCAGGAAACGCATTAATAGATCACACGTTAAGCAGAATAGTTGGTAATATTTGATAAGAGAGCACAGTCCTAATGGTTCCTACAAAAATGTATATACATTGCAATTAAAGCGATAGAAAGCATAGAGTAATATAGAGAGGCTAATATGTATTACGCCAATATAAAATATTGAAGACAAGAAACGAATGTAAAAACAGCGTCACTACTTAATCATTTGAAAATTATTGTACAATGTCATCAATGGACAAATAGAGGGAAAATCAAGTTTATAAAATGTATGTTTTGTTTTTGTTAATTTTGATAATTTTTAACAAATGTCAATTTCTATTTCAATTATGTCGAGCTGCATAATATTTAGAAGAACATTGAATCGGGCTTCTAAAGCTGCCGGTGTATCGTTTCACATGTAAAATTTATAATTTTTTTTTTTCTAGAGCTTAAAGAATACATAGTTTATAACACTTCTAAAAATATTATAGAATATAGATGTTGGTATAATTATTAGTTATGGGTATTTTATAAAGATAAAATACCCATAACTTTATGTTATACATTCTTTAGCTCTAATGTTAAAATTTACTATACCTACATTTTAAATATTTGAAACAGTTTCTCAATGGTGTTTAATTAATTTTCAAACAATTGATTTATTTACATTTCTTTAAAGCAATTTAAACTAAAATTGTATACAATATAATATTATATATTTATAGTTTAAAGGTTTAAGGATAATAATTAAAAAACATAGGTATATAATATACAAAAAAGTACGACAGGAAGTTGGATAAAATGGCATGAATAAACAAATGTGACGAGCGGCAGTGTAATACTACCAAGGTGGCCAACTTTGGCACCCGATAAAAAATAAAACAAAATTTTAATTGTCTAAAATATTTTGTGACATGAACTTGAGCAAGGCGGAAAAAAAACTTGGTTAATAAAAAAAACAGTTGATAAATAAAAAATTAATTTTAATCAGTTTTATAATTAAGTATATTATAATATTGAAATTTCATGGAAGAAAAGAAAACTCATATTGCAACGATTAATTGTTATTGTTATTGTTATGGTTTTCTCCATAGACCAAGGACCATGGCTATATAGTAACCAGTAATTTTGTTTACCACAAAGATCTATCTATACGTATAAATTTTTCTTATTATTTTTATTAATGGTTACTTCGGACATTATATTTGATTAAACTAAATTATACTTTTGAATAAATTATAAAGCAAAATAAACATTAATAAAATATTGATTTTATTTTTAATTATTATTCTGTAAAATTAATGAGTGTAAACAATATTATAGACACACGTTTTTAATTTTAATTAAAACGTTTATATGTAATTTTTGTATATATTATTATATTTAAAACAAGAAATTCGTTTAGATTCAAATTATTCAATTGCTTGCTTATTAAGATGGGAAGAAGGTGTTGCATTGTTTGTTTAAAATATCCAATAAAAGAACAAGGAATTTCATTGCATTGGTGAGTTTTAGACATTATGTAGATTCCCATTATTATTACAAAGTTATGTATAACATTATGTTTTACAGTTTCCCTAAAAACTTGACTGAACGAATGACATGGTTAAAATCATGTGACCTGATTGAAACAGACTATGCACCTAGTCGTCGTATATGTTCCCGTCATTTTAGTGAAAAAGATCTGTTACCTCCATCAATGAAAGACAATAGACGTTGTTTAAGACCAGGTTCAGTTCCTAGATTATCGTGTTATAGAAACAAGTCTGTTAAGGTTGATCATTTTTAGTTATTCCTATTCAATTGAAAAATAAATGTTATAAATTATATTGTTATTTATTGTTTACAGAATTCGTCTAATGGTTCCAGCAACACGTCTTGTAAAATACAAATTAATTCTTCAAATAAAGTACTCCCTGAATTATCCTTAAAAACCAAAATGTTGGATTATGATAACTCACAGTCAAAAGCAGTAAGCTGTAGTTCTACAATGCCATTTAATCATTTGATAACGAATGATTTTAGTAAGTGAATTATATTTAACATAATTTAATTATTTTTAAAAAAATTATAAAAAAAACCTGTTATTGAAATCTAATATTATCTTAGTAGTAATAGTTGTTTTATTATTCTAATAGGATATGAAAATATTTCAATTTATATTTGATTATAAAATAGTACAATATATAATATTGTTATATTATTGATAGTTGAAATATTTTGTATGTTAACATCTTATTTTTATTTGAATTAGTTATTAAATAAACTGTTAATAACCAAAATAAGTACCTTTTTCTTTGTATTCAGAATATTCTGATAAAATCAATTGCATATCTGTTGTAGCCTTATAGAATCTATAGATTCATGTAAATCTAATGTATATTAAAATATTTAAAGAATTGTATGAATATTAAAATATTTATAATTTATAAAAGTAACTATTAACAAACTTTTTTTTTTTAGATTTTTGTTCATCTGATTCATCAAAATTAATTTTATTTGAACCAGAAAGCATTAATTTAAAAAATGAGTCGTTGGAAACCACTTTTGAACAAAATGAACCACATAATGAAAACTGTGGTAGCCAATCGCCATATTACACAAATGATTATGTTTCTAGTAAGTTGATTATGAATAAAAAAAAAATATACATTATTTGTTAGTCGTATTATAATTTGACTAATTGATAAGTATTTTGTTACGAACTGGAAGTTAAGGTTTTAATACACGGCGTAATAAGTGGGGTCTAGTGTTTAATAACTTTCTTTTGGATTTGAGATGGGGACCCCAAGTTAGTCTTTTATCTAACATAATACCAGATATTTAACTTGAGTCAAGGAGAAGATAGGAACTCTTGGAGGGAGAGAGTGGGAATAATTTTTTTGTTGAGAGTAAAAGGAACATAGGAGGCTTTGTTTTGTCAGCGTTGGTTTTGATTTTCCAGTTTGAAGACCACTTCCCAATAAAGTGAAGGTGGTGTTGGAGGATAGTGAATTCTTCAACTGGATCACTTTTTTTTTGGTCATAAAATAGCAAATTTTGTATATACTTAATTTTCTCAGAAGTAATGAAAAAACTAATATCAAACAGGGATCCATTTAAGTGGATACACCCATTATCTCAGAAAGTATTAACTATTTTCGAGATTTATTTTCTAGAACATTTAAGAAATAAGTACTTCCACAATTTTATGGAGGTAAAATCATTACTTAATTTTTGATTTTCAAATGGCAACCTATATTAAAAATAGATGGAGTATTTTATTTTTTTTTATTTTTTATTTAAGACAATCTGCAATCTATACAACAATATACACATTAATTAGATGAGATAAAAAAATACAAAAAAAAAAAAAAAAAAAAAAAAAAAAGTAACAATGAATATTTTGATTTTGGGGAAATACCCAGTGGTAACACCCAATACGTGATATTATTTATTTAATGTCGGTTAATACAGATTTTTTTTTCTTTTCATGTTAAGACAAAAGGCTACTGCTCCGTTTTCTTTTTATCTAGTATAGTACATTTTGGCGGTTTGATTTAGGATTTATGCTTTAAGATCTTTGTGAAGATTATTGTTTGTTATGTACCAGGGTGCAGATGATAGTAGGCGGAAAAAATGGAGTATTAAAATAAATTTGATTGTTGAAATTTTTTATTTCTGTCAAGCCGTTGACGAGATATTCCACTTTTAAGTTTGGTTTGGAGGAGAGTAGTGGAGTATCATTTGTGTGGCGATATGACGTGTTAATATTGCACCACTCTTATAATGAGTTTACCCACTTAAATGGATCACCTGGAATAAAAATGTTTCAATACAAGTATATTAAAAACATTCAAATTTATGATTTGTTTTAAAATTGTAGTTATATCTATTTAAAAAAAAAAAAAAACAATATATACATTTATTGTCAATCGATTTATTCGGAATCTGAGTTTGAATTTGTGTCACCTGTAATTGCAATTTTAGCTTTGTACAATTTAATGATAATCAATTTTTAGCAAGAACCAATATGGTAATAATGTAATATAATACAGCATAAAATTAGAGGTGGTTAGTATTTTTAATACAATTGTATTTTGTATTCTATTTTAAAAGTTTTTGGCCCATCCCTAAGTACGATATAATACAATTGTAATAATTAAAATATGAGGAATTTTTTTCATAGGTAAAATATTTCTGGCATCATTGTCATTGTCTTCTTGATTATTTTGAATTAAATAAATTTAAATATAAATAAAATAGTAAACATGAAACCAATTACGCGCACGTAAGAATATAAAATCAAAATAGTACTGTAAACGACACAAGAATCAACAGTTAGCTTGCACATTTTGCTCAATGTGTTTACATAAACCAAACTAAAAATTGACTGTACACTGCTTGAAAATGTTTTGTAGGGAGGACATTCCAAAAGCGAGAAAAACAAGTTTGATTGGCCGCCGTATGAGGTCTTTCGTAGCTCAGGCTGAACTTTTGGATACTAAAATTTTAACTGATTTGTGTTTTATGACATAATTTGTTTTTGAATTGTTAATTAGTCATTACTAGGGTCCAGATTTCATTGTAAAGTGCATTTTTTGAGAGAGTGATCTAAGTACATAATTTGATTCATATTACAGATATTTTAAAAACCTCAGAAACTTTGATTCTATATTTTTCTATTTTTAACATTTTAGTAATTTTGTTAGTTATAAGTAGAAGTCAAATTTCAATTTGCATCTTTTTTTTTGGAATGTCTTACCCAATGCTTTCTTACAAATGTATTTCAAGTATTCCAAGTTGTAACTATAAAAAAATTTTGGGACAATTTTTAGTGGAATTTATACTTTTTGGGTCATTTTTGATGTATTTACCATATTATGACCAAACAATTTACTTTATTAAAATATAACATTACTGTGTAATATAAATAATTTTTATCTCGAACAATGTAATGATAATAAAAATTGTTCAAATGAATAAAACGGGCAAATTGTCCAGTAGTACAAATAAATAGATAAGTTATTACAATACATTTTTATGGAAGTAGATACAATAATATAAAATTTTGATAATTATAGACTAGAATATAAACTAAAACGACTGTAAAAGTAGGTATAATATTACATATTGTTAGTTAAGTATATTTTAAGAATTGAGACTTTTGGAGTATAGAAATATTCAACATTTGGTGCAAGTTTATTGCACAAAGTCATGGCTCTAGCAATATGAGAACATTATGGCATTATTATAGCATTATGTTTGAGAACTAGTTTCTCTAATAATTTGTCAATTTGTATAATGTCTGAGATTGGTTGATAGTTTTTACATCTAGCTTATTGTGTTTTTTGAAACCCGGGGTAATTGAGGTGATTTTCCAGATAGATAGGAAAACACCTTCCTCGAGTGATTTTTTAAAGAACAAGAAAACAAGATAGGGAATAGAATCTGATAAATTGGAGAGAAAATAATAGGAAATACCATTAGGTAATCTGGTTTTAAATTAGATGAGGCAATTTTTATTGAAGGATTTTCTTATTGAGCAATACTATTTTATCAATGGTGCGTGTGGCCGATTTTTGTTTAATTTATTGGCAGGGCATTTTTTAGAGTTTTTATGCCATAAATACATTTTTTATATTTTTAGGGCATTTGAATCTGAGCCTTATTTATAATTGTAAATTTATACCATATATGCTAGAATAAGGAGCAGGCGCGTGATTTTGTGGACAAAATATCCTCTTACCTAAATATGCCTATCTTAAAACCATACATTTTAATTAAATAATACTGGTTGGTTAATAATTATTTGTTTAGGTGTTTTTTTATCTGAATTGTCTGAAACAGTATCAGTTAAATCTGAATTATCCGAAACAGTATCAATGAAATCTGAATATACTGATTCATCTTATGGTTTTGCATTTTCAAATAGTTTGATGACTAGCAACAATGATATTTATCATTTACATAATGAAATAGATAACTCAAGTAAGTTTTTTAAAAATTACAGTATGGAATTAATTAATAAGATTTTTGTGTTAATTTAAGTTTTTTAATTTTTAATTTTAGGTTTGTGTATGTATGGTTTATGTGAAACTATGGATGTTAAATCTGAAATGGTTAATGATATAGCTAATGAGTATCCACCTACAAATTGTTCGTTAAAAGACAAGTCCTGTTCATCAGATAAAGATGAAAAACTAAAATGCACTTCATTGCAAGGTATTACCTAGTCACCTAGTAACCAAGTAACCTAACTAGGTTATTGAATTGTAGATTGTATCAGAGGTTTCACTTATGATAATATTGCTATCATTTCTTTAAAAATACCAAATTAAAATTGAAAATTCATATTATATTTTGTAATCATCGAGAAATCAGTAATATATTTAAAATAAATAACTTTGTATAAAACAATTACAATTATTTCTATACATATATTTCATGAAAATATTTGAAATTTCAACCTTATTCAGGAAAATATAAAGAAATTAATAAAAAAAAAACCATTAATACAATTTTTTAGAATGCTTTCGGTCTTATCAATCAAAGAAAGCTTAGCATTTATAAATATGATTATTCAGTGGCAGCGCGATAGGATATTTCACGAAGCGATAGCTACATGACCAATTGGGTGGTGGTACCCCCAGGCTAAAAATATGAATTATGCCCGCTTATACTTTAAATCATCCCAAGAAATAGCAATAACATGACATCTTCTAAAGTGAAATATTCCGGAGGTAAAATAGTCCCTCGTTCGGATCTCCAGGTGGAGACTACTGAAGAAGGAAATGTTAAGGGTTGGAGAAGAATAGCTATTTGGAACGTTAGAACTATGTTGCAATGCGGGAAACTAGAAAACTTGAAAATAGAAATGGCAAGAATGAAGATGGATATCCTTGGCCTGTCAGAAATGAGATGGCCAAGAGCTGGAGATCTATGGAGTGGGGAATATAGGTTGATACATACAGGAACAGCGGAGAATAACCCAGGAATTGGAGGGGTAGGCATAATAATGAGTAAGGCTATTGAGAAAAAAGTTGAAGGATTTGTACAGTACAACGAAAGAATAATATTAGTCAAAATCGAAACGAAACCTAAGGATACAATCATAGTCCAAGTCTACATGCCTACTTCTAATAGCAGCGAGAGGGAATTGGAAGAAGTCTATGAAGGAATAGAAAAAGTTATTGAAAAAGTTAAAGGAGATGAAAATCTTATCATTATGGGTGATTGGAACGCTGTTTTAGGAGAAGAAAGCCTAGGGCACATAATAGGAAATTATGGCCTAGGAAACCGAAATGAAAGAGAAGATAGATTAATAGATTTCTGTTCAAAACACTAGTTATTATTAATGAATACCTACTTCAAACACCATCCAAGAAGAAGGTATACATGGAAAATGCCGGGAGACATAAATAGATATCAAATAGATTATATTATGGTCAAGAAGAGATTTAGAAACCAAGTAAAAGACTGCAGAAGCTACCCAGGAGCAGACATAGATAGTGACCATAACTTGTTAATGATGAAAAGTAACCTAAAATTCAAGAAAATAGTATTAAGGAAAAACAATGATCGATGGCATATAAATAAATTAAAAGAAGAAAAGGCAAATGATAAGTTTAAAGAACTTACAAACGACATGAGTATAAATGAGAGAACCGATATAAACAATAGGTGGGGTATTATAAAGAGCACAGTGACAGAAGCAGCATCAAAGACACTGAAAGAAAACGACAGTATCTAGGAAAGAATGGATAACAACAGAGATAGCAAGGATGATAGAAGAAAGAAAAAAGCTTAAGAATGGAACTACTTTTGAAAGTCAGCGCAAATATAGAGAACTAAGAAATCTTGTAATACGAAAGTCAAAAGAAGCAAAGGAAACATTTTTAGAAGAAAAATGCAAAGAAATAGAGGTACAAATGAGGAATGGTAGCAGAGATGCAGCGTATAAATCAGTTAAAAATTTCTTTAACGATTATAAACCAAATAGGGGGGCAATAGAGGATAATAACGGAGTAATTATTTATGAAGACATACAGAGAGGGGACGTATGGAAGAAGTATCTTGAACAGCTATATGAGGGGCCAGAACTCACAGGACAAGAAATAGAGCATGAAGAAATAATGGACAATAGCTCAAATTATAGTGTATTGAGAGAAGAATTTGATAAAGCACTTAGAGATCTAAGAAGAAGAAGGCAGCAAGAATTGACGAAATTCAAGCAGAACTTTGGAAAGAATCTGGGGAAAGCATGCATAGTGAGCTTTTTAAACTCATAAAGGAAATATTTAACTCAGGAGAACTTCCTCTAGACTTTACCAAGTGTAAGATTATTCCTATTCCGAAAAAAGCAACCGCAAACAAATGTGATCAGTACCGTACAATTAGCTTGCTGACACACGTGTCAAAAATACTGACAATAATCATATTAAGAAGAATGGAATATACGATTGAAGCCATATTGTCAGAAGACCAGTTTGGGTTCAGAAAAAATATGGGTACAAGGGAAGCAATATTGGCTTTAAGAATAATTATCGAGAAAAGAATTAGAAAAGATAAGCCTACATACATAGCTTTTGTTGATATAGAAAAAGCGTTCGAAAATGTCAACTGGGCAATAATGTTCAAGATACTTAAAAGAGCGGGTACAGAATAGACTGAAAGGAGACTACTCTTTAAACTATACCAGAAGGAAACAGCTGTTATACGATTTGGTGGAACTGAGGAAGAAGCACGCATAAGAAAAGGAGTAAGGCAGGGTTGTAATCTCTCACCTAGCATATTCAACGCATACATCCAAGAGGCAATTGACATAATAAGAGAGANGCTACGGTTTGCAGATGATATAGCAGTCATAGCGGAAAATGAAGAAAAAATACAAAGGATGCTGAGATGTATGGAAGAAACTCTGCTCAATGAACTGAGCATGAAAATAAATATGCAAAAGACCAAAGTTCTCGTATGCAGCAGAAACAATAATATTACGACAAGAATACATCTGCAAAATAACCAAGAAATTAAGCAAGTAGAAGAGTTTGCATACTTGGAAGCATAATAAGTAAAGATGGTAGAAGTAAAAAAGAAATAGTTAAGCGAATATGCCAAGCTAAGATAGCATTTAACAAAAAAAGAGGACTTTTTACTTCAAAAAGTATTAGCCTACGCACCAGAATAAATCTTCTGGTGACATACGTATGGAGTATAATGCTGTATGGCAGCGAAACGTGGACGATTACCAAAGCATAGCGGAGAAGGATAGAAGCTTTCGAGATGTGGTGTTTCAGAAGAATGCTTAAAATAAGTTGGACGGACATGGTATCAAACAAGGAAGTATTAAAAACTTATGGAGTAGTATCAAGAAAAGGAGAAATGAATGGATTGGACATGTATTGAGACATGGTGGGTTGCTAGGATTAATTATAGAAGGCTGCGTGGAAGGAAAAAATGCTAGGGAAGACCATTAATGGAATATATGCAACAAATAATAGAGGACCAAGGGTGTACTTATAAAGAGACAAAGAGGAAGGCAAGTAATACGGAAGAGTGGAGAATTGCTACAAACCAATCTCAGGATTGAATACTGAAGATGATGATGACTTTATACTTAATACTTTATTGTTATTAATATAAAATAAATATATATTTATATTAAATTAATATATAACATTTCATTAGTTCACTTTAACTTTCATATATTAAATATTCAGTGTTAAAAGGTAAACAACAAACATATTAATAAACCACAATTTTTATGAAGAAAAAAAAATCCCACATACTCCTAAACTTTGTTGATTAAATGTCACATGTTTTACATGGCTCATCATTGTGGTCATTAGTACTGTGTTCTCTTGTATTGACAGAGCAAAATAAAAAAAAAAAAGGTATAATGAATTATTAAAATATACGAACTGCCCAATTTTATTAATTTTTAATATTCATAAAATAAAAAATCACCATGACTCAAAGCATATATTTGTGGAATGGTAAATCGGTGAAAATAGGGAGGGGGGATTTCGTCCCCATGACTGTCTAATAACACTTAGGTGGTGATAGTCAACCTCTAACATCTATATTTGCCATATAAAATAAAAAAGTTCGCGCCGCCACTGAGATTATTCATACTTTATAGTGCTAAAAAAAACCAGATCAATTTTTTTAATGTGATTAATTGTTACAAAGTGCCACAAAGTTCTTTATTGTGAAAGTAATATAATACAAATTTCAATATTATTCACTATAATTGATGTTTCCAGGCAAATTTCAAATTTAACACAATACATGTTTTAATTTAATTCTATAGTTTTTATTAATTTATCATGTATAATTATTATAATAAAACTTTTGTATTCATTGTAGAAAAACATAAAAAGATGTCCTATGGTATTGATATTAAATTATCAGATTTTAGTTCGCCCATAAAAGCAAAAAGAAATTTCCATAAGGCAAAACAGCACATTATACAACAAAACGACAAGATTAAAAAGTATCAACAGAAGGTCCGAAAACTCATAAAACGCATTAACTTAATGAAAGACGAGTTAAAGAGTTATAAAACTGCCAAATAATAATAATTATTTATTTAAACTGGTCAAGCTGCCCATTAACAACATTTATACATATCTAAGTATACAGTATTAGCCAGTGGCGTATTTATTATTTTTAATTTACTCTATAGTATTTTTATTTATTAAGTTTAACTGATAATGTAATAATGTATGAGAGGTTAATACATAGGTCAATAAGCATTCAAGACATATTTAGTTATGAGTAATTTTTAAGCATTTTAAAGTGTAACAAACAATTTTTCAAAAATTTATATTCTTAAACATAGTGTACATTTTTAAATGATTATATTTAGTGATAACATATACATTGGTTTTTTTGTGCCTCCTCGAGTCCTCCATTATTCTTTTCTAAATATGTCAATGGAGTTAGCTACGAAAAAATATAATTCACAAAAATGATCATCTTAACTCAAATCATAAATTTGATTGTAAGATTTTGTTCACCACTCGTTTGATGAGTTGCTAATTGATCGCGTAATTTCTTCATTTGTTCATGTTGAAACAGTGTTCAGGGCAAGATAGAGCTCAATCATAGCCTTTGGGACATATTTTTCAATAGCCTATTGTAAAAATATCTAAATACTTTAGCTATACAATTATCTCATACTTAACTTATATATTATTCCTAATCCATTTTAATATGCTTAATTTCGGAATGCTATTGCGTATTACTAGAAATAAAATAGCCCCTGCTATTATCTATCCCTAGCATGTGTTTACCTCGCTTATACGTATTAATCCGAGACTGACAGTGTCCTATCAGAACTGATACCGATATTAATCTGTCTATTGAAACCTCAAGTTATATAACTCTATGCATTGAAGTTGGGAGGTAAGATAATAGTAGTTTCTTGCTTTCCAATGCCTATATCAAAAGGGTCACTGGTTGAACCTTTTTTTCTCCCAATATTAACCAACAGTAGGGGGTAATCAGTTCTTTACATTGTTACCTCATTACCGCCATCATTTATTAATAGGTATAACTAAGCGTGTTGTAAATCCTGTTTTTCCCTTCGCGGGACAGGCTCACATAATTAATCAACTATACTAATTAAACTACGATGAGAGGTAAGCGGTGGGATTGACAGCTTCTCCAAGAGCTTCAAGAGTGCGTGTGACGGCAAGAAGAGCCAAGTCATCAGCGAAACCGATTAGTTGAACTCCTGGGGACGTCAATCCCCAGAAGGTCATCGTAGAAGACGTTTTATAAGATGAGGCCGGGAAGAACACGATTGCGTGTTTTTCGATAGGTTAAAAAATACTTAAAAAAATAAAACTAACATGATTGCGTACGAATTCGTATGCAATGTTATCAAATGTATATATATATACTATATACTCGATAATTAACCAGTAGCCCAGTAGTTATAATAATTTTATCTGAACTGGAATATTATAACATGGCTAAATATATTAATATATTTAGCCATGATTATTACTCATAAAACACCTAAATTTTAATTTCTGAATATCTATAACCATAAGGTTATACTTTCAAATATTTCAATACATTTGTATGGATTTTATACTCATCAATCATCTAAGCCTTTATAATATTTTGAATTCTAATAAAATATTATTTTACTATTTTCTTTATTTTATCGTTATTAATTAAATGTATAATCGGTATTGTTTATTAAAATTTAAAAACAATTAACTATTTTCCTTTTTCGGATTTTATAAGTTTAATAGAATTTTAGATATTACTAAACGTTGATAAAATATACACACGTGTGATGATCAACAACTAACTAAAAAGCAGAAATCACCTATATTTGAAATATTGAAATTTCCTGCATATTAAGATTCATTTAATGTTAATATCATTTACAATAAACGTTTATGGAAAAATGAAAAATATTTATGCATTTTTTCTAGTTCACCCATGTGTTATATAGAGCCTATAATATAAGAATATAATATATATCTTAGTCGGTGGCCTAGAGTGTGCTGTATGAAAAAAAGGCACGAAATATTCTTATCAAATTTTAAGCTGCTGACACACGGAGCGGTTCAACTGCCAGCGGTCGCAGTCTACCGCTCGAAAATTAAACACACATGATTAAATGTTATCATCCATACGACAGCGGTCGGCCCGTTCGTGTTTGAATTTCCAGCGGTTTACCGCGACCGCTAGTTAAGAATAAACTAAATTGTGTATTTCCAATAGGCCCGTAGTGGTTTAACCGCGGCGGTTCTGCATTTCTGTTTCTATCCTTATCATTGACACGATTATTGATACGCCACTTTATTAAATATTTTATTTTACTGATCACGCAATTTGAATATTTACAAGTACCTACGAGTAGGTATTTATGAACAAACTATTTTATAAGACTCTTCAGGGTATGCTCGTAGTGCCATACAATTTACAATAAATTTTCTTTCTTTGAGGACTTTTATTATTAATTGGGTGTATCCAATATCGTCTTTCAACGTTTTTTTTTTTTTTTTTTTTTAATTAGTGGCGTTTATACAGCGTATACGTTATAGTTCTGGCTTAAACATCTAAAATCCCATCCATTTTATATACCTAATATATATTTTATATTATACTAATGTATATAATATATAAACTATGTAGTCGTATGGGTATCAAAAAATAGACAGAAAATTTCTAAAATTAATAGAAAATCGCATGACAGTCCTTTCAAGGATAACAGTTTTAAACAGTTCCATGTGTAAGTAAACTACTGCGGTAGCGGTTTCTTATTTATTCAAACCTCCCGATCGCTTCGAGTAAGCAGCTTTACGATTAATTAAGATAAATCGAATTGGCAAAAATGGTATCTCTGTAACCACTTTTTAAGGTTAGGTTTGTATTTGTTTGAATTTGATATAATATAATGTTATCAACTCCGTGTTTGAATATTTTTTATTTTGTTTTTGTACGATACTACGATTATTGTTTTGAGTGTTATAACTAAATTTCCTAATTTTCTATAGGATAATAATAAAAAAAAAAATGTCTCTTAGCATTGCCCAAATTCGTCAAAATTTAAGTCTTTTAGCCAACGCACAAACGTGTCATAAAGATCAAGTTGATAAGTAAGATTTAGTTTTGTTGGACATTACGCACTTAAAATATTTATTACATTGTTTACTAACCATATGTAATTGTATTATTCACAGATACAGAAATTTATTGAACAATGTTTTGTCAAATACCGGCGACAATGTTATTGAAGCGTTGAAAGTATTTGTTGAAGCCAGTAAGTAGATGTTAAATAAAATTCTATGAATTATTAAATAATAAATAATCTTAATCTCTTTTTAGTTGTTAATGAAAACGTCAGTTTAGTGATATCTCGTCAAATATTATCTGATGTCAGTACACAACTTTTACCAGATTTGGCTGATGCGCAGTCTAAATTATTAGCTCATTTTACACTAGAAAAAGTGATATTTACTGAATTTTAAATAATTCAAAATAATTAACCTTTGATATTTGTATTAGATCCAACCAAGAGTAATTTCTTTTGAAGAGCAAGTAGCCAATGTACGTCAACATTTAGCGTCAATTTATGAAAGAGAACTCAATTGGAAAGAAGCAGCAGCAGTACTTGTTGGCATACCACTTGAAACCGGACAAAAGTAAGTATTTATTCGTTTTTAATTGTTTTCTTCAAATAAATAAATTTAATACATTTTAGGAAGTATACTGTTGATTATAAACTGGAAACTTATATGAAAATTGCACGTCTTTACTTGGAAGATGATGATCCTTTGTTAGCAGAATCTTACATCAATAGAGCTTCATTATTGCAAGTAATGTTATATTAAAATAACTAGGTTTTTTTAACAATAATACTAATTATAATTTTTAGACTGAATCCAAAAACGAAAAATTGCAAATTTGTTATAAAGTATGTTATGCAAGGGTATTGGATTTCCGTCGCAAGTTTATTGAAGCTGCTCAAAGGTACAATGAATTGTCATATAAATCAATTATAACTGAAGAGGAGCGTATGACAGCTTTAAAGAATGCTCTTATTTGCACAGTATTAGCATCTGCTGGTAAGAAATATATTTTATACTTATTATAATCAGATTTATTAATTTTATGTTATTAGGTCAACAACGTAGTCGAATGTTGGCGACATTATTCAAAGATGAAAGATGTCAAAGTTTAGCAGAGTTCTCGATCCTTGAAAAAATGTACTTGGATAGAATAATACGACCAAATGAAATAGCTAGACTAGATGCAATGTTACAACCGCATCAGAAAGCAAAAACTGTAGATGGTAAATTAATTGCATTTGCAATTGCCTTCTAAAAATGTACACTAAATAAAATATTTAAATATCTTAGGTTCAACCATATTGGATCGAGCTATTATTCAACACAATCTGTTATCAGCCAGTAAACTGTACAAAAATATGAAAATTGAAGAACTTGGTCGTTTATTGGGTATTGAACCAAGCAAAGCAGAAAAGATAGCAGGACAAATGATATCAGAAGGACGCATGGAAGGTTCAATTGATCAGATAGAATGTTATGTTCATTTTAAATGTAAGCAGCATATTCGTATAATAATGGTCTAGTTTATAATATTTTTAAATAATTTCTTTTGATAGCTCAAAAATTGTTGCCGTCTTGGGACAAGAAAATTGAAGCTCTTTGTTATCACGTTAATCATATAATTGAACTCATGTCTGCAGACCCAACCACACGTGAATGGATGAATAAACATTTAAATGATCAAATGACATTTTAAACTGGAGCAAAATAATATAAATTTGTATTTTTCCTAATTAATTTTAAACAAATACATATACTGAAAATTTTTTTTAAATGTAGATACAAATACTCTTATGATTATCCTTTATATAATCCTACGTTTACTGACAATACATCTTGTCTACGCAAAGTTTAGGTATGTAAGGCAATGCTTATAAGGCAAGTTCCAAGCCAATACCGAATTTATGACCGCCCTGATTGAATTGGCGACACTCAAATAAGCTGGCCAATGATAATGTGACACCTAAAACAAAATAAAAGTTTATAAGTAAATGGTTTATTTGTTTACAAATAGATTGTGATCTTTTACCATCTTTAACTTTAATCCCAGAACCTAGGCACAATTGACTCTTGTTGTTGATCTTGGCACGCAATTTAACTTCTTTGTTAAGTTGGTACTGTGTACCAATAGCAAGGGATGAATCATTATTCTCTGAAGACCAAGATACTTGGAGTCCCAAATCCAATTGATCAGATAATTTTTGGAAAACTGAACCTCCGAATATTTTGTTATCATTGCTACACATAAATATTACACAATATTAAAATAATTTAATACATTACTGTATTGCTAAATTAATCTGTGATTACATTAAGAATCTCTGATAACATAATTATTTTATGCTAAACAGGTGGTTCAAGTAGTATAATGGATTTAAAATTTAAAATTTGGAACATAGCAAGGGATCTATTTGTTGTACTGTTTTTTTTTCTATCTGTGAACAACTTTTCTACAAGAAAACTTACTCTAAAGTAATGAGTGTAGACAATTTTCTGAAAATGTATAGTTAAAATAGTAAATATTAGGTAGGGCCACGGCATTACTGATTTTATTAGCTTCAATAGAAAATTATAAGAGATAGATTTTGTTTCTATAAACATACCTAATGATAAAAAATTAGTTTTTTGAAATCTAAATTAACTATTATAATAACTGGGAAAAACCAAGTAGAAAAATGCAATATTTAAATTATGGTGAAACTACTTCATTAATTAAAATTATTAAGATAATTTTTTCTGTTAGAAATCTTTGTCTAAATTTCAAAAATAATATATTTTCTGAGAAAATTGTTGGTTTTGTTTGTGATTAAGAAAGACATTGTTTGATTTACCTTATAGTTACAAAAGACTGAGAAAAAGGACAAAATGTACAACATTGTTGTTTTGTTGTTATTTGGTTAAAGTTATTGTAGAGACTTAAGGTGGGAACAGACTATTGTCATGTCACGTGAGCTTACATGACGAGAAAAAAGTGTAGGATATAGGTTTGTACAGTATTTTAATGTATCAGCACCACATTAATGTCACCTCACGCGTGTCATGTCACATTTCCTACCTCACGCATGATGAACCGTGATGTCACGTTTTGATTTTCTAACTTCACACACATTTTCAACTGCATGAGCTCACAAATTTTGTCTATTTTGTTATTATTCATAATTTGTATGTACGTATAATTGAAACGCTCTTAATATTAAGAACAATTTTAAGCTAGTTCATTAACTTTAAACAAAAATTAAAATTTTTACTATGGACGAACTTCTCATTGAAAAAGTTCGCGAACATCATGTAATAATAATTAGTTAATAGGTTTTTGAAATTGAGTATTTTGCTTTTGTATGTTTTGTTTAATAAGTTCATGCAAATAATCAAATTCTTCTTTTGGCATCCGGAAAAACATGTGAAACCGTCTTGGTTTGTTTTGTAATTCATGAACCAAATGGAATTCGGCCAATTGTTCCCTTTTTTTTTTTTTATCGATTTCATGTACCCAGATTGATCGGGCGGTTTTTTTTATTTGCCTCATCTGAAACCACAAATATAGCTGCTGTTTCCAATTCTTCTTCCCACTCTGAACTATCTGAAGTTTCTCTATCCATTTTAAATTAATTATAAAATAAAAATGTGTGTGAACACAGTACACAAACAGTGGCGTTCATTCAACACAGCTGTACAGTCAAAAGTGACTGAACAAAACTGTGACGTGATAGAGCATGACATCACAGTTAAAATATGCCAACGTGACACACGTGAGCTCACATGACGTGACAATAGTCTGTTCCCACCTTTATATATAGTTTTTACAAAATACTTAAATTCTATACTTTGTACCATGAGAGAGCGCATACAGTCACACATCCGAGCAATAACAAATTTCACACACCATTAAGTCGGTTGGTCATGTTTTGTAGTGGGTATGCATGAAAATATGAGTTTTGGTACGCCACCATATGCTTTCTTTCGTGGCACAGAGTATAGCTATTTAATATTTTATATCAGTGTTTTAATATGCGTTTTTATTAGGTAGGTATGTTCTTAAAATTATAAGATTTAAAAAAAAATGCTAGATAATTTAACATAAAGCACAATACATACGTTGTACTTAGTGGTCTAAAAACAAAGTTGAGTTCAATGAATTTTCTTTTCATTGATTTCATCAATTTTGATTAAAATCATAATTCATTTCAAATTATCTCCAAATTGTTTGCTATGGTTTATCGTTGCGTACAGATATAAATAAAATAATTATATGTATTATACCATTCCAATTACCCCCCACAATAGGCTGCATCTATCCACAGTATCAGCTTTTTTATTATTATTATTGATAAATTAGTAATTCTATGAAAACTATGTTCCTTAATTATTTTAACTAATACTATCACAAATCAAAAAGGAAAATATTGAATTAATTGATGATTAATTTACTTACACAGTGGTTGTGAATACAAATTGTTTAGCTATATAGCTAAGAGCGACATGGTTGGACTGCAATACATTGTCACTAGTACTATATTTAACATTTAAACCTCCCAACCATCCTAAAGCAAAATACAAATTTATAATTTCAGATATTAAATAAATAAAGCGTGTTTATTGTACAAGCTATTTACCGTTGTAAGCAAGTACAGCAGAAGCGGTGATTACAGGTTTTAGTGCTTTGAATTCAGTGTCCAAGTTGAGTGAGATAAGATCATTTTTATATTCAGATTTCACTCGTACAACTTTAGTTCTTTGAGAAAAAAATGAAAAATATAACAAGTTATATTAAATTGTGTTTATTTGACGATTTTAAAGTGAATCCAATTTCAACTTACTGCTTCTTACGGTCAAATGTACCATCTGTTGATACTTTGACACCAGGTAACAGACCGCTTATTGAAGCTTCAGATGTCATAATATCATTTGTGTTCCATTTCTCAACAAAAGTGAAAACTAATTGGGATAAAAAATATATTATACATTTTTTATTAAAACGAATGGGCACATCTTGCATAACCACTTTAAATTTATTAAATTAGGCAGGTAACAAAAGTGTTGTTCATACCTACATACGTTCAAAAACCACTTACGATATTTAGACTTGTTGACCACGTATTTGGTTTCAAGATTAGCGTTAACGGCACCCGACGTTAAATGCTGAGTACCACCGGCCTTAATTTCCACGTTTTGATTGGTCTTCAAGTCCAATTTGAGCACGTCGAACACATAACCGCTGTTGAACACATCACGTGCCGCTTTACCTAGATCGCTGTATGATGGAGGAGCCATTTGGATTGATTTTAAGTTGTGTTCTAATACAAATAAACGAAAATACAAAATTATTTATGTTTTTTGGTATTTCGTCAAACAATTTGCGGAGGCGGAGGAAGTGTGCGGGGGAATGTCATTTTGGTACAAGTAATAGACGCACGTCAGACGGCCAGGTAACTTCGATTTCGTGTCATTTCGCATGTTTTAGTCCTGGGCCGCACGAAATTAATAGGTCAGTAATTATTAACAAACTTACCTTGGAATCGTTAGAAAAGTAAATTTATGTCGAACACAAAAAAGTAGATTCTGGGATTGTTGTGAATAGCGTGCACGAGACGAAACGAGTAAGAAGTGAAAAGTCAGATGTCGAGAAGGAATTTTAGGCGATAACAGTGTGCAGGGGACAGGCGTCACCGGGTCACGTGATAATACAATTGACAGTGTTTGGATGCAAAGAGAAAGTATACAAATATATTTCAATTATTCAAAAATGAAATAGGTTATAAAAAAGAAATACGAATTGGATTTTTATGAACTCGAAAGTGGTTATTTATATATTTATAAGATTTATGATTTAAATTGGATGAATTTCGAATGCATGGAAGAAAAACGAAAACGAACAGGCCTTACAGCTGCTAACCATAATGGCGTAATCCATGCCTTAGTTTAATAACGTATAAAATATTTTGCGCGCAATTTTGTATTTTTAGTACAAGAAGAACGAACCACTGATTAAATTATTACATGTACATATATGTATATAAATGTACAGATATAAAATATATACAATATTAAATTATATACCCATTATAATTTGTTAGTACCTATACTATATTATGATAGAACTCGCTTTCAAACATCAATTTTAGAATCTGAGCCAAGAGAGGAATGGTTTTACAATAATGTTTATTTGGTTTATATTTTTTATCTATAAACAATTTTACTAGAAATATTGCCTCGATTTCGAAGTACAGTACCTCTTCTGAAAAGAAATGTTACCTGGGTGGTAATTTATAGAAGTAGTTTTTAGATTTTCCAAACAGTTTTCATAATAATTAGGGAAAATGGGAAAATTTACTAAATGTATTATTTTAAATTTTGTTTTTGTTGTTATTTAGTGAAACATATTTATAGACTTGAAATTTGAACAGAAAACTTATATTTACCTTTTTGTAAATGTAGTTAAATTTTCAAAACATTCTAGCCATTTTTGAGCCATCTATAGATATTTTATGTTTGTGAGTTTTTAATGTAATTTTTATTTGATAGGTACTACGTTAATATCTGTTGGACCAAACTTAATTCTTGAACATTTAACAGGAGGTTTTCGATGTTCAAAATCGTAATCAATTTTCGATCGATCTATGTTATAATGATATCTCGTGATCAGCGCGTCGCCGCGAAACTATTACATCTTTAGGTAGGCGAAAACCGGTTTCCACCAAGTTCACCGAAAATATTATTCACACAGTGCGCCGGCATTATTATGATTTCGTGCGCGTCTGCGATTTCGTATATATTCATCATTATTACCGCACGGTACACCCGCGGAGTTGGCGACACCGGAGCCGCGTACTCACCCTACCGCTGAGGATAGTATTAAAATTAAATGTAAAATTATCAAAACAAAATTCTCGGCCAATCACATTTAAGTTCAATAGTTCCGCACGTCCCCAATCCGACTTGCTCCCGACGAGGCAAGACTCGACCGGAGCTTGCGTTGACTTGGTTCAAAAACGAACGACATTCAACAACGAAGGAAAATCATTTTTTCGAACGTTCCGGACACTATACAATATGTCCGAGTAGTCACCTCAAGTTCCCCACGATGAACCCTTTCGGTTCGAAACGCGTGTGAGTATGAAAATGTATTATTAGCCTTGGCCGGTAATTTTATTTCGTTTAGTTAATTAAATAATATATTAATGTTACCCAGAATAATATGTTCTCTGTTGCCACCTGTAGTGGCCATGTTAAATTTATGATTATATCCTTATTATGTGATATTTCATTTCATATTTCCTAAACGTGTTCTAACTCGCTGCGCGTATTTCCATTTTATATATTTTGCCTTGCGATAAATAATTATGCCACATTTACGTTACGAGACGTTCCTCCATAATGATGGTTATAGTTATTATGAATATTATTTTATTTTATTTATTCGCGTGGTTGATATTTCGTTTATGGATTACGCTCGTATTATTTTATGTCTACATATTTAGGTAGGTATTATTTCCCAGGTACTAGAAGATTTTCCTCCTCAGCAGGTTATTACGTAGGCCACCATCACGGGCATAAACATGGAAATGTCGAACATCGACTTCCCCGTATAAAATGTAATTCTGCGTCTTAGCGAAACGCGACCCTGTTTTTGAGTCTCTAAATTATATGATATTAAAATCTATATTAATTATTATGGTGAATTTCCACAACAGTCCATCTTTATACTAGTGCCTAAATTCTTTCGTTATATATATATAGAAAATCGTTTAATCCAAATTTAGTTTATTAAGATTGTAGAATTAAATAACAATTTGCTGCGATGTTTATTTCGCGATTAATAATACTATTTTCAAAGCGCTGACACGTTCCCGTTCTTTTTTCTCATACACATGTTCAACATTTAAAAAAAATAATATTGTATGCGTGTTATAACTTAAATATGTGGTCGATCGATGTATTGATTGTGTTCTGATATTATTATAAAATTATATGCATCTATTATTTCCTCGGGTTTTCTCATGTTTTTTCCGGTTTTCCATTTATTAAGAAAACAGCTAAGAAAATTAAAAAATTAACTACCTAAAGTAACACCCAAGTCAGATTTATTTTTAGCAAAAGTACTGCACTTAAAAATCACAGCAAGATTTCTAGTAGAAAAGTTGTCCAAAAATAAAAAAATATAAACATCTTTGTAAATCATTTGTAAATCATTGTAAAATGATATTGAATGTGGCTTTCTTTCATCGTTTAAAGCTGATATTTTAATTCCCGATAGTGCTTAATTTAGAGTATATGCGCTGAGAATCTTAATTTTTAGAAAAATGAACTTAATAATATTATTAGTGACTTGTAGTCTTGTTAAGTATTAATGGTATTATTAGTTATTGTTATTATTATTACCTAATTATATATTAATATTAGCGCACAAACATATTGTTAAGATGATGGGTGCTAGATGGCGTTGCAAGTTTTTTTGACAATTCTTTTTGTCATTAGATAAACCTTTGGGTAAACTCATTGGCGCATTTAGTTCAAAATATGTTGAACTATAAATTGACTATGTTTACTTATTATTTACCTGATTTAGGTTGGTATGGGGGGGGGGTACATATTCAGACCCTCCCTCTATTTGCGGCAGTGGTTTTATGTAACATTGTGGACGTCGTGGTTTAGTCGAGTTGCTAAGTGGCCTGTATACGATTAGACTTTAATTCCAAAAATTATAATTTTAATTTGTGCATAATTTAACTATAAAAAAGATACGGATATAATTCGCACGATGGGTAGGCTACTGTTGTAGGTGAGAAGTTGTGAAGGTAGGATATAGAGAGGAATTTAATGTACGCAATGTTTAATCTTTACTAAGAAAAAATGATTCTGAGCCGAGTTCGGTAATACACGTTTAAAATGCCATAATATTTACGATTTGAAATTACACTTCGTACATTTCCCGGTTTTTGCTATATTTCTTTCCATTTATTATGAAAATCCCTGTCTTTAAATAAAAAAAATAAATACAATTAGTTAATAGTCAATAAAACATACCTTATATACCTTATAGTCTACATATATGTACAAAAATGTTTGACATTTAAAATTGAAATTTGTTTTATTATAGGTATCTGAAGTTTTTTGACAATGAACATGGTTTATAAAGCATACCTTAATTTTATTGCTTGGATTGAATTTAAAAAAAAATAAAATCTTTATAGACTACGAGATATATTATACAAAAAGATGCTGAATTTGTTGAACGCATATATAATATTATAATTTTAAGCATTTTTTCAATATTTCCCTAGTGGGCTGAGGTCCATACAATAGAACGTACTTTTTGAAAAGTTCAAATGTTAAACAAATATACAAATATCACAATGTAGATTATTATTAAATATCCAAACACTATATCATCTGCATTTCTTCAAAAGTTATTTCAAAGTTTTTTTCTTAACACTGATGATGTAGCCTTTTTTTATGCAAATATAATATTTTGAATTCGTACAAAAAAAAATGTGTAAAAAAAATCCCGAATGCGTAACAAAATAGATATCAAAAAAGAAAGGTAGGATAATAGAAAAAGGTGCAGCCATTGGTGTAGGTGGGAAGTTAAGAAGGTAGGATAAAGAAGTGAATTAAATTTATATCTGTAAGCAACGAGAAACCATTGCTTACAAAAAACTTTATTTTCCTTTTAGAAAAATTGCTATCATTAAAAGTCGGAGAAAAATTGCTGGTAGAAAAGTTGTCCACAGAATTAAAAAATCGTAATATTATATAAATATATTTGGTACATTTTCGCATTGTTTTTTGGTTTTTCAAAATTGCGAAAATCCTAAAGTACCTCCCCACACCGAATTCCTTTCAGAAAAGGTGCTATATATAAATATCAGAGCAAGTCCTCTGGTAGAAGAGTTGTCCGCAAGAAAAAAAAATAAACATCTCTGTGAAACCATAGGCTGTTTTTGGTCCATTCAGAATCTAAAATAAAATAATTTCTAGTGTTTATTTCTCACCCAAAAATAATAATGATAGTCATGTTAAATTTTTAATTCTTTAAATTTAATTATATCGTCATGTCCTAATTACGAAATTATCATTTGCGGTGACTTTAACTTACCTAATTTAAACTAGATTGTTTTTAATGATTATGTTAGGAGTCACGGGAATTTATATAATCAAGTAGCAACTGTTATCGATGAGTTTGCTTATCTTAACTGCCGTCAATTTAATAAGTGGTACAATTTATCGTGCTCTTTACTCGATTTAGTTTTTTCTAATATTTCCTGTTTACATTCTTAATGATGATGATAAAGCTATCATACCACTTGACATGTTATATTACCCTGCGGTATATATTAGTTTCAATATTTCTGCGAGTAATAAACAAATTGAACTAAATTCTAGCTATTTTGATTTTAATAAAACAGAACGGCTTATCATACGCTCTAAACTCTTGTAATTGAAATTAAATTTTACAAAATTCAGACATTAATGTAGTCACTTCTTGCTTTTATTCAACACTTAATACTCACATTAATTTATTTGTTCCTAAACTAATTCCAAATAAATCTAATTTCCCCTTTGGTATAACAAGTATTTGATAAGTCTAATCATTAAAAAAAAATTGGTCATAACAATTTTAAAGGCTTTAAAAATCCTAATGAATATAATATATTTACGGCAACAAATAAAAACTGAATCTCTTATCGTATATAATAACTATTTTAATT